AGAAGGGAAAATAATAGAAGAGAGAAAATTAAAAAGAGGGAAATTGTAAGAAGAGGAAAGCAGCAGTAGAAGAAGGGAAAAAGGATGGAAACTTTAGTGGACCAAACAACCAAGAAAATAGCAGGCCAGGCCAGGCAACTTAAGTTAAGCTTCACCGGGACTAAAACCCCAAGAGCACCTACCTTGATTCGCCGGTTCCTGCACTCAAAACAGCCATTCCGCGCCGGGGCTCTGTAAGTGCGCCGTGCAGGCATTGCTGGGGACTTTTTTCTTTCTTGGGGATTATATTATTATTATTCTTCTTCCCTGTCGTGTTCTTTTGTTCCTTCTGTCCAGGTTCTGGGTGAAGGAGCAGAAGATGCTGGGGAGGGTTGAAGGGAGGGAGGGGGGGGGGGAGGTTTCCCAGCAGGCGCAAGGTGGAAGCAGAAGCGTCAAGGATGGAAGGGAGGAGGGGGGATGTTTCATAGGAAGTGTAAAAAGAAGGGAAAATTAATATGGAAAACAATCCCTAAATCAAACAAGCAAGAAGCCGTAATCCCCTCCAACTGTTCCAGCTCAACTTTCAACAACACCTTCTTGGCCGGGGTGGATAGTTGGAGATCCCATGAGATTTAATATCCAAACAAACGACCGACTCCCCATGCTTTTTTGGAGAGAGAGAAGGAGAGAGACTAAAGAGGTTTTGGCCTCTTTTCCGGGAGAAGGTTCCAAAACCCGCTCATCGAGACCACCTTCAATTCCACAACCCACTTTTTCCCTCCACCACCAAAGCACTTTTCCAACAATAATTCCAAAGTTGTCCAAAGCTAGCCGATAGATCGCTGCCCCACTTCCGTTGTCTTTGCACGGAGGCAGTAAGAGCGCGAATCCCCGATGGCATGGATTGGATGGATTGGATGGAACTGGATGGCTCTGGCCTTCCCCAAAAGACGAAACCAGTAAATGCGGACAGAAAAAAAAAAGGATTTGTGGTGTTTAAGGCAGCGCTACGAAGGGCTCGGCGCCCCAACCGCCGTAGCAACAGAAGGGAAAGAGACAAGAGACAGGATGATGCATCATGCGGTCGAATGGGCAAATGGTCATCTTGGTCATCTTGGGTCGCGGTGTACTGAACCCTGGATCATCGTTGCCTCTTTCTTTCTGTCTCTTGTCTGTCATGACCCAGCTCGCTGATGACTTGCCATCTTGAGAGGATGATCATTTATTAAAGATGTACGACTGTACAATTCTTGGTTTTAAAAAAAGAAATAAAACTAAGCAAGTACCATGCATGGCCAGTGTTCATCCTACTCTACATGGTATACCGTCTGAGATCTTCCACCTGGGAATGGAAAACGAAAGAGAAAAAGGAAAAAGAGGGTTAACTGTTCACTACTAGATATTACTTACTATCTAATACCAACAACTCACTAGTACTGATTTAGTCGGATTTAGTGGTGTGCTTTTCTTCCCCCATCCTTGACATGCCCCACCGGCCACCAGCCCAATTGACCCAATCAGGAATAAGCAGTCACAACCCCCTGAAGCATCCCCCCCCCCGTTTATCCTACAATAATCTACTGACTATTAATGGAACTAAAGTGTAGTTTATCCCAGATCTTCCCCCGAAACTGAATAAGAAGCACCGGTCCATCCCGGAAGTGATGGACATCCGTTCCCGAATGGAGAATAGAGATGGAGGGATGGACATAGAGGCGGGCGGGGGAGGGGGGAAAACAAGAACAAGAAGAAAAAAAAATTGATGCTTAAACCCCGACAAGCCAGCAATGAATCTCTCTCGTCATGCCGTCTTGGGACAAAGCCGGGATCCACACCACATCCACTTGCAGCCAAAAAACCTAAAAGTCAAATCCCCATCTTCGGCTCCTGGCCCTTTGCCTATCGTGGCTTAGTGCTAGGCCTCTATGAACCCTGCTTTTGCTGTTTTGGGTAACTCAGATTCTTGGGGGCTTATCGGTCTTCTCATTGGCCTGCTATCTTCCCGCCTTGCCGGATCTGGCATAAGGGGTGCGGGCCCGTGACTCTCCCGTCGCCCGGGGCTGCCTCAGGCCTGATTCGATGGTTCGTTACTCACCATTGAACTGTTGTTAGTACTTTGTAGCTACAACTGTACACCAACACTACTACCCTCGCTAGACAGCTAGTGTCTCAATCCCTCCTTCTTCTCCATCCACGTTGTGTCTCTGTTGCATGGCATCCGTGTCTCACATCTCCGAATATCGCCTTCGGTTCCGGAATCATGAGACGCTTGACCCAATGATGTCAGCCAAAACTCCAATCTTCTCATAGCTAGCTAGCTATGGTTCGATCACGACCATCCTGAATCAGTCAATCCATCCAAGAGATAATACCCCGCTTAAGAGGGGCGAGCCGTTGCCGGTCACGGAGGATTTACTGATCTTCCCGCTTGTCCTTTTGCTCTTTCAAAGAAACTCGATGGAATGAGCACGGTGGCACCATGGCGTAACTTTCCGTGGACGATGGACCCCGGCAGCGACAAAGCCTCTTCCGCAGCCTCTCCCACACCCACGCCCACGCCTCCCACGCCTTCCCAGCAGCATCACACATAGGCATCCCACCAATCGTCCGTGACGTTGCCCTCGCTGCCCAATGATCAAGCTCAGCCCACAGTGCGAAGTGCATGCATCCTACAGCTAGCCATACCTCGGACTAAAAGCCCGACCGTTCCGCCCGGCGCTTTTGCGCCATATCGCGCGTGTGAGTAATCCTCAAGCTCCAGCTGGAATAGACCAGGCTAGCTAGAATCGCGATACCACTATATTAGTCCCATCTACATCTCGGCCGGCGGAGGTAACCGGCCTCACCGTTGGTACCGCGATCATAAAGGCGGCCAGTGGGTCCATCTGATTTTCGCCGGGAGAACGGATTCACCCTAACCGCGCCAACGGGCTAATCTAGGTTGGATCAGAAGAAACGACCGCTGTTGGGGCCAAGGCCCTCAAACAGCGGGCCTGGCTTAAGCCATGGGTGGATTTCAGATCACAGACCTCTTCACTGAATCTTCTGGTAGGATTCTCCATGCGCCCAGATGCGCCTGAGGGTCGGCCGCTTTGACTCGAATAGGCATGGCGCTAGCAAAAAGTCGCGCGCGTTGGATATCGGATTGGACCATACCGGTGAGCTGGTGCTGCTGATTAGCCAGCACATCAGATACACCGTCTCCGCAAATCCTTCTCTTCCTGCAAGACGTCATCGTCATTCCCGACTGGGAAAATGCAGACGTTGCTTCTATATGAATCCTCTCCATCCCGCAACTCGTCTGTTATCTTGGGCCACTTGATGAACGAACTGGCCACTCTGCATGAGCAACGACGGGGCATGGTGCCATGAACCTGTTGGATCTGGCTGCCTATCCGGGACGCTTGTTCCATGCTCGATGGCTTAGCACCATATCGAGCCCACAGTTGCAGAGCCTAGGATGGGATGCTTGGGCGCTTGACAAAGCATCAGCAAATTGATTGGCCCGAATCCTGGGAATACTTCGGTTAGAGAGTGGACATGTTGGAATTTTCGTCAGACCACTTGGGTCAGCTGGGCCCGAGATACGCCGAACCGAAGAGCCAGATGTGTACAGAGTGTGCGACTTGGGGGTCACTATGTTGGTTTCTCGACTGGCACAGCATACGGAGTCGCCGTGATGAGTTGAGATGACGCTTTGCCCATAGTGGGGTTTCGGTCTGTCTGAAGACCGGACAGAAGCTATCGACAAATTGAAGGGCGAAGGTCCTTGAAGGAATCGTACGTCTGCATCCGATGCCTCCGCTGACGGATTACTCTACGCAGTTTGCTGCGTTATGGACAGCCTCCAGATTCGCCCCGTTTCAAATCCAATCGGAAACTCGGCAGTTGCTCAGTTGAATTGGGGTTGGAAGTATAATCGCAACCAGTAGGACCAGAGTTATCTACAAGCTGCAAGCAGACTTCTAATGCGTAGATTTCCTCACATGGCACTACACTGCTAACCTTGCTGTTACATTGCTTGCCTGACAGCATGCTAGGATTGCACTTCAAATGCAGGCCGTGCTCAACAATCACAACACAGGTCATCCACTCACCAACCAGAAAAGTCTTATCGGCCAGCCTGTTGAACAGCAGCATAAACCTATCACGTCTCAACATACCTACCATCCGCACACGTTTTCTTGAATGCGTAGCATATCGACGTGTAAGCTGCATTTTCAGCTTATCCAAAGGACAGAACCTGCATCACAATTCTGCTGTCAATCAGAAACGTCATATGTCAGGCAATAGACCACTTTTTATCGATTTGGCAACTATGAATACCACTTGCTAACTGCGACGTGACCCAGCAATTATCCATTGCCCCCGGCATTATCTCCCTAGGAACCTCTGTTTACCATGTGACCTAGATAATGACCCAACTTGCTGCATAGAACATTGAGCTCGGCCCGTCATTTCTTCTATAAATAAGTAGGTGTATACTTAGTTACTTCTAATATGTAGTATCTCTGTAGTAGTAGCGTTGATAAGCTGGATTGTGATGTATTATATATATACTTTATGCTATATATACGTTCGGAAAGCGATTTTAGTATTGACAACACAAAAAAAGTAACATTCATTGCAGTATAGTTGCAGCATGGTAATGAATAGTTATAGACAAATATACGTAATCGCTGACTATATATAACTACTAGACTACTAGTACTAGTAGTACTAGAGTTCATGTACATTGTGCATACTTCAATCATTTAGGTCTTCAGTTAATATTCGAAGGTGTTTGTCTAACACCTACCATCCCTATTTATGCGAACATTGCCATCAATATATATACGCACTTAGTCGCGCAAAAGATGCAAATATGCCTGCAAGTGAATCATAGCCCTAGCGAGGGACTGCATGGATCAATTCCGACAAGTGCTCTCTAATTTCAAATCTAAACTTACTAATCTAACCTATGTACAATACGCCCAAAATGCAATGTATATATGTAGTACCAAACCCATTAAGCAACTGAATCAACCCACCCACTGATCCGCCCCCTGCAGCGCCATCAACGCAAAATGACTTCCCAGTGCTGGCCTCGCCCGAAACGCAAAGTACTCACCGGCCTCACCAGTCGTACTATCTTGTACCCAGTACCGGTCCGAGAAGGGTACATCGTTGAGACCATTAGCGATATAGGCATGAATATCGGAGATGAACATGTCCCTTGCTTCATCGGTGACCGTTGCCGCCACGAAACCCTGCCAGTTCGTTTGGCCCCAGTCGAGGTTAGCGTCGAGGGCTATGCCAGCTGGTTTGCGGACTGTGGGGTAGAAGGCTGTGGTGGCGTTGTAGGCTTCTTCGGGGAAGAGGTCAAAGGAGAATAAGACGTCCGCGTAGTGATTGTACGCGAGGAACCAGGAGTCGTCGTCGTACTGGGTGGTGAAGTAGGTTCCATTAGGGTCTGTGCCGAGGCGGCCGTTGTAGAGGGCGTCAGTGATGGATTTGCCTGCGTCGGTGTAGTTCTGCTGCGAGGTCAGGTGGCCGTAGCAGGCGAGGCCGCTAGCTGCTTTCATGGCGAGGTTGGTTTGGTTTGCGACCTTTCCTAGGGCGTCGTTGAGGGAGAGTTGTGCGTCGGGATATTTGCCGTTGATGCTTAGGTATTGAGCGTATTTCTGCAGAAGGGGGGAGTAGGTGCTTGAGATGTTGGTTGTGTTGGTTGCGCTTTCGTAGGCGTAGGTCATGATGAGGATGTTTCCGCTTTCTTCGACAGGCATGAACTCTCCTTTGGGGCTGTGGCCGGTGGCGTTGGGGTAGTCCATCCCGATGTCGTGTACGGCAAAGTCGTAGGTGTAGTTGGTTTGGTCCATGTATTCGAATACGGGTTTTAGGAGGAGGCGGATGTAGTCGGAGTTTAGGACGTAGAAGACTGGGAAGGATGCGTAGATGACGTCGACGGTGTTGATGTTGCCATCGCTGGAGATCTCTTTGATGAAGGCCATGGTGTCGTTGGTGTCTAGTGTGTCATTTGGGATTGTGAGTTCCATGCCACCGTAGATTTGGCGGAGAGATAACGCCAGTATATCGGAGTAGTTAGTGCCGTATGATGATTCCCCGCCCTTTTGAATGAACTCGTCCATGTTGATTGATTCGATCAGCGCGTCAGAGTAGTCGTCAAGAAAATACGAGACGGCGGATGTAGTGTTTGGGTAGATTGCTCGGTAGTACCCAGTTTGCGTATTACCAAGGTAGTTAATGGTTTGCTCGCGCACATGGCCTATGGCGAACGTGATCGAAGTATTCTCTGTAGTCGTTTCCATTTCATGCGCAAATGCGACAACGCCGTCAGATGTCCAATTTGCGTAAGAATTGCCGAGCGATCCATTGGCCACAAATTGAGAACGGATCGCAGACGACGGCCCCGAGGCAGAAGAGAGGACGCTTCCATTTTGAGCCCGCGTGGCGTAAACTGTCTCACCCCAAAGCGCTTGCTCTTGAGGGTTTTGCGAGAACAAGGCCTCTTCCACGGGACTCAGCTGAAAGACTGAAGTTTTGTTGGCTTCTGAGAAAGCCCAAGTGGCGTTATCCGGTTGACCGGTCCAGGACGAATCAATGTCAGAGTAGATCTGGACAGAGTCGTTGCTCGATGTCCCACTAACTGATATCGTGAGATAAGAAAAGGGCAGAGACTGGCGTAGATAATTTGTTGGGGAGACGGGCGAAAAGAAGTCGAGAGTGAAATTTTTCGACCCGGCTGTCAGCAGAAAAGTGCTGTGCGTCGAGGTGAAATTGCCATCTCTGACAGTAGCAGCCTGGATGCCTTCTGTTTCCTCAGAGACACCGAAAAGGCTGTACGTCTGACCATTTACGCGAGCAATGACAGACCATGTGAGGTTATTTCCGAACCAAAACTGAGGAGAACTAGAGGGAAGGCTAGATGCCTGATATCCGGGAAGCCAAGCTGTACACGTCAGTACACGTTTATTCTACATGATCAAGCAATGCATGTCAAAACTGAACTTCAAAGCAGAGGCTGGACTAACAAGACAGATAGGGACTGCGAACAGCAAGTGGATAAGCCGGAGGCAGGAGAGGAGCAAAAGAAGCAGACACGACAACTTGAAGAAGAGCGCATCCCCAGACCCATAGGAGACATGAATCCCCAAAGCACCTCATGATCTACAGGAAGAAAGGTAGAAAGAGATGAAGGGGTATGTGCTATACAATAATGTCGCCGCTCACCTGTGGCAGCATGCGGACCCCCCTAGGGAGTCCGGCATTCAAGTACTCTTCCCTTCATTGTCGCCCACTGCACAATTCCATTCAGGAACATACTTTTCTTGGAAGGAGTGGGTCATACGATTTGCTGCCCTGGTGGGCTTGAATTCTAGCAAGAGAATGGTAAGGACGTGGTACTAATTCATGGCTAGCATTCGTTCTCGTCCATAGTTCGGCATGTAAGAGCAGCAGCCCAGGCAGGCGGCGACCAATCGTGGTGGTGGACCTGAGACTTACCCCTGGGTCCTGAATCCCATTATTCAGCCCTGAGACGGGCCCGGCAGATCGCATCTTTCAGATCGTAGATCATCGTCGACGTTTCCTGTCAATCTGTCGCCGTCCTCGGCTCGCTCTAGGCCGGCCCCGGGCTCTCACATTCTTCAAACAAGGTCACTACCCCCGCATTCCAGATGTTCATAACCCGCTTCAATCCTGTTTCCAGACCAAGTCACTCAGTGAAGAATCATGGATGCCTCCTCTGCCGAGTTTTCTCCTTGCCAGTTGGAAGACCCTTGAGATGGTTTTCCATGGCTGGTCGTGGGGCTCCCGGGTCGGGTTCATCGCTGGGTCGTCCCTGATTCCACGATCTACCCATCCTCGGTATAGAGAAGCGGGAGATAAATCTTCTCGACGGCCCAGGGCTGCATTCAAAGGGGTCCAGGGGCACATCCAGGGCGAGATATGGTCGAATAGAGACTGGGCTGCAGAGGAGCTACCTAAGGGAGCATTCTGCCAAGGTTCTTCCTCAGAAGAAAACCTTGTCTTCTGCATCGGCACGCGGGCACGTGTGATCCTATGTTATGCTTAAGTTTGTGAGATAGCATCCCTGCAGAGTCTCGTTAGCACCAAAGCTTATTCCTGCAACTTCATCGTCCGCCTTCCTTCCAAGGGTCGAACGACGAAATGTAGCTTCTGTCGACACCTTTCATTTCTACGCAACAATGGACCCCCTGGCAGTTTCGATGAAGCCAAGTATTTGCCACCATGGAACCGCCTGAATGTGGCTACAAGCCATTGGTATCAGACTTGCAGAGGGGTTTGAGAGACCTTTGTTACCGCAGGGCTGGTCTGGCCCCAACCCTGGATACATACGATCCCTTGCCTGTGACACCAGGGAATGTTTACGGGGATATGGGTAAAATGAAGCGACCGAGGGGGCTTACCACATCCTGGCCAGGTCATCACAGGCTGCCGGATAGCTGCAGGCCAGGATGGGCATTCCTCGTTGCTTAATCCATCGCGTTGCAGGAGTCAGTGACTTCATTCTTAGTCACGGTGCAACCATGTCCGACAAACCGGTTGATGTTATCAGTCAAAACGGCTTTGATTTTCGTAGCGCTATTAAAGTTTCGATTTAAGTGAGAGCTTATGCAGATCCGGCGAGCAGGAAGAGGATGACAAGCTGTCGCTCAAGAAAAGTACATGCATATAGTTTGGTTAGTAGTGTGAGCTTTGGTCCATGTGTCACACGGGTAAGGCGTAAGGATCTTCCAAATGCCTGCCTTCTATGGATTCTCTTGCAGGTGAGTTTGACTGCCTTTGATTGAGGAGCAACGCGTCTGTGCGAGAAAAGTGGTTTGATGACTAGGGTGTCACATCCAAAAAGCATTCCCTCTTCTACTATGTTATCCGTACTCGTAGTAGCTGGGTCCACAGAAAATATGAAGAGCTTTTTGGTCTTGTCATTTATGTCCGAATCTTCATAGAACTGTATAAATCCGCGGTGGCAATAGTTTCCACACTGTCTGTAATATCTCATTTGAGCCGACTATTTGTAATGGCTTAAAGTATGGCATGCAGGTAAGACGGAGCATGACCGGCCGGCAGTACTGCGGATAAATCAACCGCATCCCCATCCAGTAAGTGCTGTGAGTGTGTGTAGTGGCAAGTGGCCGGGTACCAATGCAGCGTCTGTTTACCGATCCACCGGTGCCCGCACCCGATAAAAATTGCTGGATTTTTATCTAGACTACTAACCACTAAGTAGACTCCTAGCGAGGGCCTTTTTCCAGTTCCCCGGCAGCGCATTGGTGCAACAGCCACGGTGATCATCCGTCTACGGGCGATTGGTTTGTTTGCCCCTCCAATCACCATCCTACCTCCCCTGAGTCGGGGAATGTAAGATAGTAAGATCTAAATCGATTATTGGTTGAATGTAAAGTCTCCAGAGGGAAGAGGGATCGGAAGTCTCACACATTTCAGCTCCCAGCGGCACAAAGTGGATGGTGCACCGGTGGGATTTTTTTCTGCCGATGGGGTCCGTCTTGACTGAAAACGGAGCGGTTGGAGTTTGATTCCCTGCCGCCTAAACCCGGAACGGCGACTGCAGCCCTTCAATCCGACCCAATGCTGAGGATTCATGCACTGGATTGGTTGGAACAAGAGAAAGTGCTCCACACTTGTGCACATCTCGGCCGGGGTGGTTGCCGCAGTTGGCCAATTTAGGTAGAGGAGACTCCAGCTGGCTGCATCTTCTTTTCGTTGCATTTATGCGCTCGACCCACTCCTGTGGTGACAGCAAAGGCCTGCTGAATGAAAATGTAAATAGAATTTTTGGAGGATGGAACACAAGCTGAACTGTGATGGGGTACCATTCGTTACGATGACGAGATGGAGGGGGAAAACTTTTATTTTTTTTAATCTAATTATTTTTCTCACTTTATTGGCAGGAAATACAGACAAAGGAGAGTTGGAAATAAGATAAACAGCAATCAAAAGGAAACATGGGAGAGAATAAGTAGATGGATCACATATTCTGTAGAAAAAGAAAGGTAAATAGCAAACAAAGGACAGGTGCGGGAAAATCCAGCGGGAGTTGCTGGGCCAAAAAAACAGTTGCTGAACCCGACCGTCTGGGTCGCGAGGTTCCTGCGCCGGGTTGATCGCCTCCTGATCCGTGACGCTACGACCAAAGGAAGGAAAGAGGGAAAAGAGAGCAGGGCAAGCCCCCGGAGGGTTGGCCAGCTAAGCCCATTAGCCCAATCCTTCTGCTCCCCAAATCCCAGGAATTGCCGGGGCTTGCTGGCACTGCTGGGGACTGGCTCCCTCTCTAACCTCCCCCCGGAGATCCCTTGGGCTGGCTTGCCTTTTCCCTTCAACTTGCGTTCTATGGAAATCCTTCCAGCAACAGACAACTGACTCCATACTTTAAGATTGGAATAGTATGTTTCCCTGGATATACTAGAATTGTTTATTGTTTATCATATTTCATTGTATGAAATCGACAAGACTAGCGCCCGTAGGATAGTATCTAGTAGTAATAAGTAGCTACTCATAGGCGACCAGACGTAGAAACCGCAAATGAGCTCATCTCCTCCCAAACTTAAGGTTCTGGACCTCGAGAGCTGCCCGTGACTCGCTCACCTTCTGCTTTCGTCCCCTCCTCGGCTGCTCCAATCTTTTCTGCTGTCCGCACCAACTCTCCGTCTTCCCTCTTCACTTTCAGCCTGCCCTCTTTCGCAACCCCGCCTTTTTTTTTTTTTTTTTTTCTTCTCTTCCTCCTCCTCCCTCCAGTCTATCTACTGGTCTGTCTTGTTCTAGCTTCGGGTTGGCTTGCAGCTTCATAGCCGCCAATCATTTAGCACTGCGGGTTCCTGTCCTTGTGCTACCTCCCAGGATAAAGCGGTCATCATAGAGGAACCTGTGGTCCTGCGGCCGATCCGTGGAAGGCTCAGCGATTCTCCCGCATTTTGACAGCTCGTCGCTGCGCCTTACCCAGAGTTCAATCCTCACTTCACGAGCTTCACGTCTACACTGTGCACTATCCGCCGAACGACGCGTGTACATTCATCCGGTTCCCATTTGCAGGACTGCCATAGGAGCCTGTGTCGTTGCCCGAATCTAGACTCGTGATAGATTGGGTTTGCCTGTCGCGAGTCTTGTTGCTGCAGTTTCGGGTATTCACCCCGCCACTACTTCCTCGACTTTCGCCTTCTTCAACGTGATGAGCGTCATGTACGCTCTGGACGATCGCACACATACCGCACCGCCTCCCCCGCCGCCGCTCTCGATGGATCGTATTCCACCCCCCTCCTCCTCATACCCCACTCCGGGCTCTGCAGGCGTCGCGTCTGCCGGCGGGATACCGCCGTCGAGCCATCTAGCGCCGCTCTCCACCGTTCATGAAAATCGCATTTGGTCTTTGCAGGTGGTTCAGCAGCCGGTTCGCGCCCGGATGTGTGGCTTCGGCGATAAGGTTGGTCTTGCTGTGCCGTCCTTGAACTGCTCTTTTTCCCGCCTTTTAAGAGGTAGCTGACTGTAGCTCAGGATCGCCGGCCAATTACTCCTCCTCCCTGCATTCGCCTGGTTGTCCGAGATGCTCAAACTGAAAAGGAGATTGACATTAAGTATGACGGTATCAAATATCGCTCTGCCGAGGATCGGTGCTGACCGGCCATTCTAGTGAGATCGATACGTCGTTTTATGTGCTCATGGTCGACCTGTGGAACGCGGAGGGGACCAGCGAGGTAAACCTCGTCAAGCACTCCGCCACTTCTCCCTCGATATCGACGGCCATGTCCTCCTCATATCCCCCTCCGCCGCATAGTGTTTCGCCTTCCTACCCGCCCTACGCGCAGAATGCCTACGGCCAGCCTGTTGGATACCCTCAGATGAACAATTACTACGGTGGCAACCCCCAACTACAGTACCAGAACCCGTATGGAGCGAATCCACAAGCACCCTATTACCAGCCTTACTATGGCGGCGGTCACATGCCGCAGGCCAACATTTCCCCGGCGCAGCCTGTGGCCTCTGGCCCTGGCGGCATGTTCACGCGGAACCTCATCGGCAGTCTCAGCGCCAGCGCGTTCCGCTTGACCGACCCGGAAAACAAGATCGGAGTGTGGTTTATTCTGCAGGACCTGAGTGTCCGCACAGAGGGCTCTTTCCGGTGAGTGCACTTCTCTGAGATGATCGCGTTTGGTGTTGTACTGATTTATTCCTGCAGCCTGAAAATGAGCTTTGTGAATGTGGGCAGCCAGTCCGGCGATTCCCCCAACGGGGTATCTGTGATCAACCACGGCTCTGCGCCAGTGTTGGCCTCTGTGTTCTCAGAGCCATTCCACGTGTTTTCGGCCAAGAAGTTTCCCGGTGTCATTGAGAGCACACCGCTGAGCAAATGCTTCGCCCTCCAAGGGATTAAGATTCCCATCCGCAAGGACGGAGTGAAGGGATCTCGCGGGCGCCACAGCGACGGAGACGACGCCGGGGATGATTACGACTAAACCAGGGTTATTTGCTAATTCGGGATACCAATGGGCGATGTTTTGTGTTTTTGGTTGCTTTTTGCTCACGTTCTTATATATATACGGGTCAGGTTGGACGCGGGGTTTGGTTCTGCGGTGTTGGTGATGGGCTCTTTCAAACAGGATGGGGGTGTATTGTTACTATCTGGGCCGGTGTCACAGGGTTCTTCGGGTTCTCCTGAATCTTTTTTTTTTCTTCTTGCTACGTGATATTCGATTAATGCTGCCTTGCTTTCGATTCGTGTGACTTGCTTTATACGAAGTGATGGTTTCGCGCCTGGTTCTACGGTTCCCGCGCACAACGGTTAGAGGCGAAAATGATCTCATCTTATGGGGACTGTACTGTATTGCATTACCCTAGGAGAATGTATGAATGATAGCCTGATAGCAGTAATCCATTGCTTTTGTGCTCTGTTCGCAAGTCCATCAACTCCGACTAGGTTAAAGTTCTGTCCGGACAAGCGCAGAGACTCGACTAGAACTCGACCGGACGAACCATCGTTCAACCGAGACCAGGTCGCCTCTTCCAGCTCGTATTGACTGTGGCGGTGCGCAACGTCGACGATGACGTCGATCGGCCAGGTGCTTCCATGGGAGAAGTGGCGGGCGTCGGAAAAAGGCCGCTTCGAAGCTCAATCTTCAGCAGAAAACCTTTGCAAGGGATGATGCAGGGTTTGAAGTAAGTAAGATCGGGCTTGTCCGACCGACTAAAAAAAGAGAACGAGGGAGAGAGCGAGAGAGTAAGTCAGTCAGAATTGGGGCATCGGATCTTCGGGTTCCGGGACCCTGACTACTTACTTTGTACCTAGTAAACTGCTAGTTTACTGGACGGACCTTGTTTTTCCCTAAACTTCTGGCATTGATTGGAGATGATCGTCGTTCTATAATTAAACGGTCGCCAACGGGGCCCATCATCAATCTTTTCCCTTCCTTCTACACTGTTTCCTTCTCTTGCCGTGTCTCGGAGCAACAACTGAGACAGGTCGTTTAAACCGGCACGTCATGAGCTCATGGATTCCCCAGTTTTTTTCCTTCAATTGAGCCACTCTGCATGACTGATGAGGGTCTTCGTCTCCATGCGGTTTCACTTTAGTGCACTGAACTAGGAGATAGTAAGTGGGAGACCTCTTCTGATAGGTTTAGGGTCTGTTATTCTCTGACGGCTCGTGCCGCTTTTTTCCTTGCGGTTTTTGGGCTGTGTGGCAGGGTTGAGATGGGGATGACTGCTGGAGGCGATGTTGTTGCTATCCATAGTGCACCGTAGTGCCTTCGTATGTGTTTCTTGTGATGGAGAGGGCCCTTGCTCGACTGACCACTCTGATTATTTTTCCTTTGGAGCTCACTCCACTTAGTTTCTCTAATAGTAACCGGTTGACCTCATAGTCTGTTCATCGTAGGATATAAATACGGCTTCGCATCCTGCTTCCTCAGTCTCTACTATTCACACAAGACATTCGTTCTCAACCACTCGATTGATAACTTTCATACATCCACCATACTATCTATCTCTAATCACTTATCATCTTTAATACCATCAAAATGAAGTTCACCCTCGCTTCCACCCTCCTCCCCCTCCTGGCCGCCGCTGCCCCCGCCCAGCAGCGCGACTCCAACTCTTCTACTCCCTCTACCTTCGGCATCATGTCCGCCCGCTCTGGCTCCCCCATCCACCTCCTCCCCTTGAACGCCAACAGCGGTGGTTTCTACTTGGGCGGAAACACCTCTTCTTACTGCCCTATCTCTTCCGGCTGCCCCGCTGGTACTGAGACCGTTTTTGCTGGTGATGGCTCTTCTTTGGTGAGTACACTCCCATCCCATACTACCTCATAAATTCTCCCCTATCAAACACACTCACACACAAGTCTCCCATACTGATGAAATAATAAATAAACAGGACGTCGAAGTCCCCGGCGGCCAACAAGTCTACGTCGCCCCCAGCGGTGCCCTGACCTTCACCGTCCCCCACTCGGCCTACATCCCCGCGGGCTCTTCCACCGGCCCCTTCAAGTACACCCCCGGCAAGCCCTTCGGCACCTGGACTTTCACCGGTGCCGGTGCCACCGGCTTCATGGCTTGCCCGGACGAGGGTAACAAGTGGCAGGTCTTTGCTGCTACCAAGAATGCTACCGTGCCTAGTGGCAATGTTGCTGATTGCTTGGGCTTTGATGCCCTGGCTGTTGCTACTAATGGTTCGGTTGCTGCTTGGGAGTACATTTAAATGACTGTACTTGGTAGTGGTAGTGGTAGTGGTAGTGTGCTAGTGGGGTAGAAGGGGGTATATAGTTGGTGTGTATAGAGTGAAATAGTAGGGTTTGTGGTTGTTTTGTACATGTATGTATGTTAATGTCATTAATGATTCGTTGATGTTGTGTTTGATTAGGTTTATTGTAATATTTGTTTTAAGTTATTTGGTGGGAGTATGCTGGGAGTATAGTTGTTATTGTTATTATGATATTGTCAGTCATAACAGTGTCATGCGTTCTATAGTATAGTACGAAGTAAAGTGGTAGGTTAATTCCTCCATATCCGCACCGCCTTGTCCTTCCCCCCACTTCCCACTTTCTGTCCATCCGGACTCCAATCTACCGCAAACACCTCGTCCTTGTGGCCCGGCAGATCCTCTTGCAACTTGCCTGTCCGTACATTCCATACTTTCAGTGTCGTGTCCTTGGACGACGAGACTAGTAGCCGGGAATCAGCCGAGAAGCAGCACTGGTACACGGCGCCCACGTGCCCGCGGAGTGTCGTGATGAATCTATTGTCTATTAGTAATTGTATATCATTTTTAAGACAGTGGTAAACTCACTTTCCGTCACGCGCGTTCCATAGCTTAACGTGGTTGTCAAAGCCCGCCGACGCAATGTACGCCATGTCTGGCGAGAACGTCACATGGTTCACCTCCTTCTGGTGTCCCAGCAGTCGCGCAACGGGCTTGCTGGAGTTCCCAGGTTCCCACAAGTACATGGTGAAGTCGTCACTCGCGGACACAAGCTTCTCGACGATCTTGTTGTTGATGGTCGCTGCCTGCTCGAACCGCTGCTTGGCTGCCGCGATCTTCTCGGCATCCGCCTGCGGCACCTTGCCGGTGTGGTCGTGGTAGGCAGTGCGGAGGACAAAGTCGGTAGACAGAGCCAGGTGATTGACGCGGTGGGCGTGCGCAGAGAGAGTCTGGAGCAGGGTGCCGTTCTGAGCATTCCACACCTTGATAGTCTTGTCGTGAGATGCAGTGTAGATATTTCCGATTCCGCCCCAGCGGACACAGGTCACTGAGCCCTTGTGCCCGGTGAGGACGGTGTCGATGCGCTTCGAGACCACGTCCCATATGCGGACCGTCGAGTCCTTGGATGCGGACGCCAGGCGCGGCCGGCCGGGCTGCTGAAGATGGTAGGGTTCCCAGGCCAGACTGGTGATCCATTTCGCGTGTCCCTTCAAGGGCGCGCCCAATGGGGTGCCCTTCTTTGCGTCCCAGAAGCGCACAGTGTTGTCCATGCTTCCCGTCGCAATCATGGCGCCGTTAGGCGAGTAGCTGACCGCCAGCACCCAGCTGGTATGTCCCTTCAAGGTGTGTAGAGGCGTTCCAGTGTCGCAATCCCAGACGCGAGCTGTGGAGTCACCGCTGCCGGTGACCATTGTGGATGAGTTGACAGGGGAGAAGCTAGTCGCAAGGATTGCCTCGCCGTGTCCGGCGATCGAGGCGGAGCATCGCGAGACGGCCTTGACGCGGAACACAGCCTGGGGAGTGAAGTAGAGATGTACCGTATCTTCGGTCGTCTTCAGGCCGGGCTTCAAGAGGGAGTGATACAGGTCGGAGAGGATATCGATTGTCTGGTCGTTCTTGTCTTTGCCATCGGATTGGTATGTGAATCGGTACGGTACTCGCTCATCTTCTTCCTGCGGCGCAAAAACCAATTAGTCTCTGTATATGTTGAACAATGCCTCGCTGCATACCTACATTGCCTTGTAACGTATTCAACAGCGTCTCGAGATTCTTCACACTGGCATCAGCGACTGGAACGGACACCGCCGGCCCGGTCGCAGATCCCGTCGCCTGGTCGAAGAATTGCACACGAATGCTACCCAAATTCTCTGGGATACTCTGGATCTCCTGCTGCTGACGGGCCCGCTCAGCGGTCTCCGTCCTCTGACGCTTCGACGGGGGAGGTAGAAGAGTCGCCATTGTGCCGCTCTTTGTTGGATGGTTTTTGTCGTTGAAGATTTTCGCCGAAAAAAAGATAAAAGATAGCCGTCGCTATCGCGGGGAGTCTGTCGCCGCTAGTCCGCTTTCGGACGGCAGCTCTACTATATCCTGCATCATTCTCTACCATATCCTGCTGCTCTTTTCCTGACCACCAATATGCAAAATGTCGGCTTCATTTGTTCGGGGTTCCTCCATTGGAGCTGCTAGCTCTGTTGCTCCCTTTTCCAGAACCAGCACATTCCCCAGGACTACGCCGAGGCCGACGACAACGGCAACAAGCGTTGCATCCCAAAACATCATCTGCGCCGTTAGTGAGTCCAGAGGCATCTCTTCGACAGTTGGCCTTGCTTTTGTCAATCTAGCTACTGCAGAGACAGTTCTGTGTCAGATATGTGATAGCCAGACGTACGTTAAAACAGTCACGAAGATCGGGGTATTCGAACCGACTGAGATACTGTTCGCAACCTCTGCCAAAGAATCCAAATTGTTCTACATCATACAAGAGAATATCCAAGATACCACGTTTACCTTTATAGATCGCAAGTTCTGGTCGGAGAGAGCTGGTCATGACTATGTAGACCGACTCGCCTTTTCCGGGGATGTCGAACCCATCAAGATCGTCCTGGGAGGAAACTATTATGCTGCTTGCTGCTTTGCTGCGGTGAGCACTACAACCGTCTGGCTGATCCGGCTAATTATTGTAGGTCTTAAAGTATGTCGAGCTGGAGCTGAACAGAACCTTTACCTGTCACTCTCTTCGTATCAGGTTCGAGCCCTCTCAGGGATCCATGTCAATTGATCTATCCACCATTGTCTCCTTGGAGTTGATACAGAACATACACAATGCAAAATCGAAGGATAGTCTGTACGGACTGCTCAATGAGACCCTGACCCCTATGGGTGCAAGGCTTCTCAGAGCCAACATCCTTCAGCCTTCAACAGAAGAACCCAAGCTGCAAGCACGATACGACGCTGTCGAGGATCTGTCTACAAAGGAAGACATGTTTGTCTCGGTGAGACAAGGTTCGCCTATAATCCTGCTATATAAGTCTTAGTCTAACCATACCAAACGTAGCTCTCAAGGGCTTTGTCGATGCGGACAAGGTTCTTACTTCTGTACGTGGATTCAATCGTTTCTGATAGCCTGGCTGACGATCCAGCTTATCCTTGTGCCCAACAAACGTGCCTTCCAATATGTTGAGCAGTCTGTCAACAATGTTATAATGGTCAAGACATATGTTGGGGCAATCAAGTCGGTTTACAAGGCACTTACGGCAGCTCAGAGTAGTCTTTTAACAACCATAAGAGAAGTAATCTTATGCTGGCTGGTATTGTCATAACATAGCTAACGACTATACAGCTATGTGCCCCGGCAGGCCACCGGGCTGTTCAGCAGATGATTGAAGAAACTCTCAACGAGCATGTCACATACCAGACACGTCCACTTGACCTCAGGAACCAACGCATCTACTGTGTCCGGGTAAGTCCCATTTGCAAGTTTCTCTGCAAGCCTGACATAGTTTCTCTAGGCCGGTGTGAATAGCCTTCTCGACGTCGCTCGACAGACATACAAAGAAGCTAATACAGATGCTGCAGATCTGGTAGCAGAGCTAGCAGGTCTGTACATTGCGTCCGAGGCTGCCCATAGCTAATATTTGTAGAAACGCACAGTATAGCCCTTGACCTGAAATTCGACAGAGCTCGCCAATACTACATCAGCCTCTTAGCTGCAGCTGTCGAATCCTTGCCAGACGTCTTCATCAACGTCTATCGCAAAAAGAACCGTATAGAATGTCAAACGCTAGACCTTGTCAAGCTCAATCAGAAGATCACAGATGCACACAATGAAGTCATCAATATGAGCGACCAAACCGTGCAGGAACTGATCCACGACATCTGCTCAGAGATATCAGTGCTCTTCAAAGTAAGCGAAGCCATCGCCATGCTTGACATGCTAGCAGCATTCGCCCAATTAGCAACATCGCACGACTACATCCGGCCTGAACTGACAGACACTCTCGCAATAAAATCCGGACATCATCCAATCCGCGAGAAGATACACACCAAGAAATTCATCCCCAATGATGCCTACGCAACGCAACAGTCCCGCTTCCAGATAATCACAGGCTGCAACATGAGCGGAAAATCCACCTACATCCGCGCCCTAGCGCTGATGACCGTAATGGCGCAAATCGGTTGTTTCATCCCAGCAGAATACGCATCATTCCCCATCGTCCACCAACTATTCGCACGTGTCTCCACATCCGACGACCTCGAAGCAAACGTATCAACTTTCGCCGCCGAGATGCGCGAAATGGCCTTCATCCTCCGCAACATCGAACCGCGCAGCATGGTCATCGTCGACGAACTAGGTCGCGGCACCAGCACAACAGACGGCCTCGCCATCGCCATCGCCATCGCAGAAGCCCTCGTAGAAAGCCACGCGTTAGTCTGGTTCGTGACCCATTTCCGGGATCTCGCACTGATAATGGGCGAGCGCAATGGCGTCGTGAGCCTCCATCTCGCAGCAGAAGTATCCCCTGATGCTTCGAAGATGACCATGCTCTATAAGATAGCCGAAGGCCCCGATACGAACCAATTTTACGGCCTCGCCCTAGCAAAGCTCGTAGATCTTCCCCCAGGTGTCCTCGAAACCGCTCAACAAGTATCAGAGAAACTCAACCAGCTCGCTAAACGCCGACACAGCAAGTCCAAAGCCCTGGCAGTGACTCGTAGACGGAATCTGATTCTCTCTCTAAAAGAACAACTCCTTCTAGTCCGCAACGGAACTATGGAAGGCGAGACCCTTCGGAAATGGTTGAAGCGACTGCAGGATGACTTCGCCTTGAGTATGGCTGCAATCGACGAGGATGCGGCCTGTGCCAGCGACGAAGATGCACCGGTACCCAGGGGAGTCTATGAGGACACTAGTTCTACCGGGAACCTTCTCTTCGATGATGATGATGATGAAGGACTCGAGGTCCATCATAGCTCTGAACTGGGAGAACCCTTTGCGCAAACTGCTGAAGATCACCTCGTCATTTCTGAGTCAGAGGACCCGCTCAACGAATCCAGTTACTGTATATCACGGCCATTCGCTCCTCCCTCGGATGTCCCTGAAGGGGATATAGATGGACTTGCCGCGTCACGTTCTGAGCATGACGACGATGATTCTACAACTAACGAGCAGGATACCGCTTCCTCCATGGATGAAGACTCCTGACCGGCTCATTCCCATCAAACAAAGTATGACTCTAACAGTATTGTATTGCATTTGTTTTTTACATCCCCATATTTCCAACCCCAGACTGAAATGTACCTATCTCCACCCGCCCCCTACAGCAACGGAAAAGAAATGAAAAGAAACCATCCCACTAGCTTTTATTTACCTCACGCGCAAGCAACTCTAGAAGTAAAAGACCATTTTCGCTCAAATACAAGCTGAACAAGCAACGACATCATCAACGAACGTAGGACCCAGAACCGACGATGCATAGACACAAACCCACGTCACATGTGTAAGGCGAAAGAAAAGAAAATAAAAAGGAAAAAAGAAACAGTAGAGTAGTGGGGTATGCATCGTCATCATCATCCGAAGTGGAACAGAGTCTGCTTCCCCTTCTTGTTCTTGCCCTTTTTGCCTCCAGCAGGGAACTCAGGGAAGTCATCCTCTGCATTGGACGAGCTAGCACCGGCGTCGTTACGAGAAGCCCAGGCGTTCGCGGTTGGCTTGTTACGATCTTCCCAGCGGACGGTGCCGCGAGTCAGACCTGCCATGAGGACGTTGGGCTTGGGAGCAGCAGGGAGAGCAGGGAAGGCTTCGGAGCTGGTGGCGTTGACTGGGCGGGCCGGGGCGCGCGAGGCGGAGCGGGAAGAGGTGGCGCTGCTGAAGGCAGAGGTAGGGGCCGAGGGAGCTGCAGCGGCGGCGGCGCCCCAGGGGGTAGTGGCGGCGGGCTTGGAGGTTCGGGGGGTAGAGCGGGCGGTGGTCGAGGAGAGAGGAGGGAAGGGGTTGGCGGCGGAGGAAGAGGTGGATGAAGAAGGCATGGCGCCGCTTCTGCCGACGTAGGAACGGGAGGACTGGGCTGTTGAGGATTTGAGGCGCAGGACACGCTTTCCGCCCGCTCCGCTGCCGTTCACGGTTCCTGGGGACATGCCAGGGAGCATACCGCCGGGGCCGGGCAGAGCCGGGTAGTCTTCATTGATGGCACGCCAGTCGTTCCAGGCTTTGAGGAGCGCGTTGCGCTTGCCTTCGTCTTCGTAAATCTCGGCGAGCTCTTTAATGAGTTTGCCCAGTTCGGTGCTGGAGGTATCGAAGAGTGAAAAGAAGGCGTCAATGAGTTCGGTGGCGGAAATGGAGGAGGTGCGGTAGCTGGAAACTCGGGCACGGAATTCCTTGAGCTTGTTCTGGTCGTTGCCTAGGAGGTTCGAGGCTCTTTCAACGACGGCTGCATGGCGGAGACGGCGGGCTTTCTCTTGAGGAGTAACGGAGGCCGAGTCTGCGCTGAGATTGAGGTTCTCCATCTCGGCAACTGGTGTGGATGCGGGAGGGGTCTGGGCGGGTGTAGGACGAGCCGGAGCACGCACAGGCTGAGTGTCGTTGCGTGTTAGTTGGCCGCCGAAGCTGCGGGTCGAGACGGATTGGGCACTCTGGATAGCCATTTGTCGTTGATACGCAACCTCGTCTCTTCTCAAGGGCTGAGCGCTGGATACAGGCAGAGGCTCCGCGTTAGGATCGCGTCCACGACCAGCACCGCGACGCTGGCGCTGAGGTTGGTAAGGAGTTCTGTAATCGAAGGTTGACAAGTCAACGGTGCGAGCGTCGCGTCTGGCGTCCTTAGATAGGCCGTTGGGATGACACTCAAGTTGATGTGCCTTGAGATCCATCTGGGACTCGAAGACGACGAACTTCTTCTCAAGACACTCGCGGTCGAGACAGAGGAAGTGATCTTTCTGGAAGTGGTCTTCGAGAGCGTTGTAGTCGATGTAGTACTGTTGTTGGCGGCCGCCGGAGCGACGGTCACAAATGTGGCATCTTTCGTGACGGTCACGACAATGTGCGTATAATTCGTCATCACCATAGAACCGTTGCCGGCAGAAACCACACTCAGGATGACCTCTGAATCCACTCTGGTCTATGGCACCAGGCACGTCATCTCCATGCTTCTCGTGCTTGCGCAACTCTGCATTGGTGAAGAGCTCATGTTCGTGCGTGAACACTTTCTTGTTCCGCGTGCAAAGATCACTACAATATTGAAGTTAGTATGCGCCTACACAGATCATCACATCTAACAGTAAGAGGAACTTACCACATCACCCTGCCATGCTTGCTTTTGACGTGACGATGCAGGTCAGGCCATCCCAAGCAAGCTACATCACAACCTCTATCCGGGCAATTGTACCGCAACAACAGTACTGTGTCTTCGAAGATATCGTTGTTCTCGTACTTGATCCCTAGGTTTTCGTCCATCTGCGAGAAATCGGAGTCCTTGAAATCCTCATAGCGCTTGGCATGGTCATCCGTGAAGATAACATAGTTGGATTCCGTCTAGTCCAAAGCGAATGTCAGCGCAAAGCCACGACCAAGACCAAAAACGATGACCAAGAATCACATACTCGACAATGAGCACAAGCTTTATTCTTATACAAGGCCCTCAATCTCAGCGCACAAATATGACAAGTCCGGTGATTACACGGCGAGACCGAGGTGTGGTCGACCTTCGAAGCACAAATGAAGCAGACTTCGCCGTCATCGTCATCATCAGACTCTTCTGTCGTGACAGGCTGCTTCCCCTTGCCTTCTGACGCTGTCGGAACATTCGCATCACCCTGTCCACCTTCAGCAGCAGCCTCCGACTTGTTCCCCGAGCGATTCTGCTTGTCCCGTCCTCCGCCGCCGCCTCCGCGACGGGGTCCCTGGCCCCTAGATCTTGCACCCCTTCCAGCGCCATCATGAGAATGGTGATGGTGACCATCGGTGTGTCCCGGTTGGCGAGCAGCTCCAAAGCCTCCTCCGCGGCCTCGTCGACGGCCGCCCCGGCCTTGGCCTTGCGCTCCGGGAGCTTGGGCGGGCTGGGATTCGGACATTGGAAACGTGGAAAGATTGAGGGGCGGTTACTCGGAGTGATCAGCGAGGATGATGTTTGGAGAACAGTGCCCAGAATTTGCTCTCTTAGGAGGAGAAGCGCGTCGCGCTTTGGTGAGCCTGTGCGACCAGACAGCGAATTTCGGCGGAGGGGTGATAAGCCGGCGTTGCTGTGGAGGGACCAGCTTTCACGTTACGAGCGGCGGGCAAAAAAGTTGGATCGGCGGCATGCTTAGTGAGCATCGCTGTCCAGTTTCTCTCCCCGACTTATTTAATTTTATTAATTGCGTTAAGCCCGGTAGGGGGGGCACATAGGTAATTAATTTACTGGTGAATTCAATCTAGTTACTGATATGACTCATTTTGACTCATTATCGCTCATGCAACTACAAGGCAGATCATATGTGTGGCTTAGCCATGGGATGCATGCATATTACTAGCCCCTTCGGCTACAACTGTACTGGCTGCTCGTGCGATAACTGAGAATGTATCATGCAATGACGCGATGCGATGTACGTAGCCAAATCAATAAGCGAATACGATCTCTAGGTAGCAACATCCATCGCGCCTGTCCACAAGGCAGCACCAACTCCCGCTGGAGAGAAAAGCAGGTCAACACAAGGAAAGATAAGGCAATCATTCGCCAATGAGCGTAGCAACAAGTGCGAAAAATATCAATATGAGAAGCAAATAATAAAGTCTTGGAGCAAAATGAAAGAGAGTTAGCGCCTGGGTTCCAAATGCTGTGTAGTAAGCAAAAGTCGGGGAATCGTTAAGGCAACGACTTGGTCGCTGCGATTGCCTTGTCCGGAAGGCAAGAGTTCGCGTCTAGATACCAAAGGTTATTCATCGGGACTATACAAGTTCTGGCTGAGGATTTTAGTCATCGTGAACATGTGTATGCGATCTTGCTTGAACACGGCACGCATCGCGTCGTCACAGCGAATTTGTCGCCGGTCATTGGGATCCTGAAGATCATGCTCGTGGATGTATTGCCAAAGCCGCTTCACTGTCTGCGGTCGCGAGAGCTGTTCGAATGTCAGTATGTCTTACCTAACCGGAAATGGGAATAGCAGCCATACCGTCACCTCGCCGTCCAACAAAGCCGAAAGCGCTGGGGAAAGATTCAGGGGTTTCTAGACAGCCGTCAGCACCAGTCACCTCCATTAGGAAGTGTTTGCAGCATACGTGAAACCCGCCAGATCTGTTGACCTTCTTTCCTGAGTCCGAGCCCGATTCCAGTTCCGAATCATCCTCAGCCTTCACTTTCTTGGACGTCTTCGCTTTGGTAGGCTGCTTCTTCTTCACGGGCTGGCTTCTGCGTGTACTGGCCCCGCGGGTTTGGCGCGCACGCATGTTTTCCTCGGCCTGGAGTTTGGCTGCGAACAAGGCATCCGCATCGATATCATTGTCGGGCTTCTTCTTCTTGATAGGAGGAGTCTTGCTTGAAGTGTCCGAGCGCTCTTCACTCTCCGCTTGGCGTTTCTGCGACATGGAAGATTGAGCCGGAGAGGACGGCTCAACAGGAGTCACCGAGTCGTGGTCTTTCCCATGGCCATTGGTGGAAGCAGATGTCGCTGGTGTCTCCGATGCGGTTTGAATGCCCTTCTGTGCCGCACAGACGTCGAAGCGCTCCATGATAAGCTGCTTGATGGCAAGCTGTATGAATAAAGCTAACATTAGCATTATATTTAAGGTCTACCGCCGTGAATCAATAGAGCAAAGAGCAATATGCGACAATAATGAAAGATCGGGGGCGCAGACCTTATGCGGGGTAAGATCATAGCCGATCTCATCCTGAAGGCCGTTGCGAATAGTTTTCGAGGAGATGGTAGTCAAATCGCTTTTGGCCAGAATTGAATCAATGATCGGAATGTATTGATCGCGGGCTTCTGGGGATACTATTGCATGGGAAAAAGAAAAAGCCATGATGTCAGTTGAGAGCGATCTCGGCGTGGAGCAATCGACCGGGAACATCAGACTTCCGAACTTACGCGACATGGTGGACCGGGTAGCTTTGCTTTGCAGCACCTCTGCAGGAAACGACACGACTGAATGGAATTTAATGCTGTCAATTGCTGACCGGACTCAATGTAAGAGTTCGGAAGGCTATCAGCAGCGGGATTCAGCTCAAGGTGGTCGTGCACTGAGGACGACCGTCTAGATCTGGGCGTAGCGCTGGCGCTTAGGACCGGCGGGGCATAAGAGAGAGGAGGTACGTAAAGGCCCCAGGAGGAAGTAGGACAGGGAGAGAGAGATGGATCAGACAAAACAAAGGGGAGTAAACGAGGAGATCGAGACGGCCGGCCCACAACGACCAGCAGCTATCACCCGCAGCAGCAACGGAAAGCGGGACGATGCGTGAGGATCGCGAAATGTTATGGCTGGTCCAAGCCGATTGTACAAGTCGGTTACAGAAGACATAATCAGCCGGGCGAGAAGCTGGGGGCGGGTGGCTTAGATAAGCACCATCACGTGGTGGAGCTGGAGAAAGAATAGGCAGTTTACTAGTGGTATCGTGAGAAATGGTCATTTACCGTCACTTTACCGCACGGAAAGTGAAAGCAAGCAGAGACAATGGGGGGATGACTCAGCCCTGACTCAGCTGCCTTCGCACACAGAAGGCGCTTGTGGTTTGGGATTTGTTCTTTTGCCCTAAAATCAGCCAAATCGGGGTCGACCAGCAGAAAATCCAGAACAGCATCTTTCATCTTCAAGATCATACCCTCTCCACCCTCACCCCCCCATATCGCCGTTCGCTGCGACTGCAACCATGGCGCCCAGTTTTGACACCCTGTCTGAGCAGGATCTCCACGAAGAGGAGGAGGAGGAGGTTGACTTCTCCGGTGAGTGCGCCTCGCGTTGTTGTCCCATCATCCTCTTCTCACCCCGTTTCCCCCGTGCCCCTCGCCGCTGACTCCGCCCGATTTTCTCCATCCAGATCTCAAGGAGCAATATGAAGTGAAGCTTGAGGAGGGTTTGGACACATTTGTTGTGATCGATGGACTTCCGGTCGTCCCCGAGGAGAGCCGGCAAAAGCTCATCAAGTTCTTGTTGAGGAAGCTCAGCACGGTCGGCCACACCTCGGAGGATGCCGTCTTCATGCCCATCAACGACAAGAACATGTCCGAAGGGTATGTTTTAACTTAGGAAATCTGATTGCGGTTGGGAAAGGTTGTGGAAACATTAACACGTCGTTTCAGTTTCGCCTTCGTTGAGTACGAGACCCCCGAACAGGCCGTCGCTGCCGTCAAGCAACTGCACGGTGTACCCCTCGATAAGAAGCACACTCTCGCCGTCAACAAGTTGATGGATATCGATCGTTATGGCCGGGAAGGACGCATCGACGAGGAATACAAGCCCCCCACCATCGAACCCTTCAAGGAGAAGGAGCACCTCCGCTCATGGCTGGGCGACGCCAACGCCCGTGACCAGTTCGCCCTTTACCGTGGCGACAAGGTCGGTGTGTTCTGGAACAACAAGAGCAACCCCCCGGAGAACGTCGTCGACCGCGCGCACTGGACTCAGCTTTTCGTCCAGTGGTCCCCCAAGGGTACCTACCTCGCCTCCGTCCACCCCCAGGGTGTCCAGCTCTGGGGTGGTCCCGCCTTCTCGAAGCAGAAGCAGTTCCCCCATCCTTTCGTTCAGCTGGTCGAATTCTCGCCCGGTGAGAGCTACCTGACCACCTGGTCCGCCCGCCCCATCCAGGTGGAGGAGGGCCACCCGGTCCTGACCTACGAGGAAGACGGAAAGAACATCATCATCTGGGATATCGTCACTGGCAAGCCTCTTCGTTCCTTCGTCTCTCACGATCTGACTGCCGGCCCTAGTGCTGAGGGCGAGCCCAAGAAGAAGGTCCAGTGGCCCGCTTTCAAGTGGTCCGCTGACGAGAAGTACGTCGCGAGAATGCTGCAGCACCAGTCGATCTCGATCTACGAGCTCCCCCGGATGAACTTGCTGGGCAAGACTTCCGTCAAGATTGATGGTGTTATGGACTTCGAGTGGTCCCCCGCCACCGTTGTCCGCGAGGGTGTCAAGCAGTACGAACAGCTGCTCTGCTTCTGGACTCCCGAAATCGGCAGCAACCCGGCCCGTGTCGCCTTGATGAGCGTTCCCTCGAAGGAGATCGTCCGTACGCGTAACCTCTTCAACGTGTCGGATGTCAAGCTGCACTGGCAGTCGCAAGGTACCTACGTCTGTGTCAAGGTTGACCGTCACTCCAAGTCCAAGAAGTCCATGGCCACCAACCTGGAGATTTTCCGTGTGCGCGAGAAGGGTGTCCCCGTCGAAGTCGTCGACAGTCTCAAGGATACCGTCATCAACTTTGCTTGGGAGCCCAACGGAGGACGTTTCGTCGCCATCACCACCGGCGAGGCCCCCAGCGGCACCGCCGTTCTCCCCAAGACCTCCGTCTCTTTCTTCGCCCCCGAAAAGAAGGGTGTCTCGGCCGGCAACTTCAAGGTTGTCCGCACCATTGAGAAGAAGACCAGCAACGCCATCTACTGGTCTCCCAAGGGACGTTTCGTCGTCGTCGCTACCGTTCACTCCCAGACCAACTTCGATATTGACTTCTGGGATATGGACTTTGAGGGTGAGAAGCCCGAGGGTGAGAAGGATCTGGCCGCCAACCTGCAATTAATGAAGACCGTTGAGCACTACGGTGTTACGGATATTGACTGGGATCCTACGGGTCGCTACGTTGTCAGCAGTGCTAGCGTGTGGACCCACTCGGTATGTTCTTTTTTCTTAGTATCTTGTCACGACTGCGTTACTGACATGTTTTATGTAGATGGAAAACGGCTACAACATTCACACCTTCGCCGGTCAGACCCTCGCCGAACACCCCACCGACAAGTTCAAGCAGTTCATCTGGCGCCCTCGTCCCCCCACTCTTCTCAGCAAGGAGGAGCAGAAGCAAGTGCGCAAGAACCTCCGCGAGTACTCGAAGGAGTTCGAGGAGGAGGACAAGTACGCTGTCGACATTGCCAACACAGCCGTTGTGGAGACGCGCAAGCGCGTGCTCAACGAGTGGACTGCCTGGATCCGGAGGGAGAAGGAGATGCTTGCGGAGGAGAAGGACGCCTACGGTGTGCCGGAAGACGTCGACTCTTCCAAGCAGGCCAAGGATGCCCCTGCTGTGTCGGAGGACCAAGGCGAGACAGTGGTGGAGGAGATTGTGGAAGAGATCATCGAGGAGAACGAGGAAGTCATTGGTTGATTGGGAAGCCAGCTTCGTATCTAATGTGTTCTATTCCATCCATTTCCTTTTCTTTTTCATTTCCTTTTATCCTTATCTCGCATCTTGTCTGTCGATATCCTCGCCCTTTTTTCTTTACCTATCCTCTCTGAAGTCCTCACACTTCATCCTCTCTTCTTCCCTGTGAGACTTCATCTGTGATCCATTTGGATTGGTTCCAGCGCGCGCGTGGGGGCGCCTGTGTCTGGAGCATTTCAAAAAAAGTGAATAGAATCTGTGTTTGCATATTTCCCGAGCGTGAGGGGAAAACTTTGATGTGCGTGATGTTGGTAGCAATGAGAGATGACAGACAATGATGACTACTGCAATCATTCAAAGTTCAGTTTATACCACTTTCTACTATCTCAACCAATTATCCAAAATTAAACTATCCAAAAGTCAACAACACTAACCCCCACCCCAACACAACCCACCATAACCCCATTATACATTCAACCCTCTGAGCCCCATTTCCAGCGGACCCCGTATTATACGGCCCGGAATATGTACTCGACGGCTGCACATTAATCTTAAAGAACTCCTTATCCCCCAACTTCTTATTCCCCCCAATGATATTACCCCTAGGCGAGTATTCACAAACGACATACCATCCCTGCGGTCTCTCCGTTCCATTGATCCCACCTCCACCACCTCCTCCCGCTTCACTTCTCTTCCCATTTCCATTCCCATTATCATCATCATTAGTAGTATTAGTATTATTATACCCACAATCAATAGCCGCACACCCCACCTCCCTCGTCTCCCTCCACACCAACTGCGTAAAATGTCCCGTCTCCTCCGTGAACCCCGTCGGCTCCTGGAAATTGTATTTCTGTACTTCGTCGCCCCAGGCGGCTACAGCGGACGAGACGTTGGGGTACCCGAAGGCGAGGTTTTCGCCGTAGGGGCCGTTCTGTATGTACATTACTTATTAGCTGTTTTTAATGTCTTTGTGAACTAGTATTTATATCTTGGGGGAAAAGGTGGAGGGGGAAGAGTACTATACCGAATGCTGCCATTTACATTCCTGTGCCCAGTTCAGGGCGTATTGAGTTAATGTCGTATTCCAGATTAGGTTGCTTGCGTTGTGGGCTTTGCGGTAGGTGTTGCTGACTTTTAGTATGGAGGATTGGAAGAGAGCTGGGGAGGTGTAGGAGGGGGGTTCTTGGGTGGTGGTGGTGGTTTGTGGTGCTGTTGCGGTTGCGGTTGCGGTTGTTATGATGGTGACTATTACTGTTGCTTTTGGTTGTGGTTGTTGTTGTTGGGCTGTGGTGAGAGTGATGAGGAGGGCGCTTAGGAGGATTATGGTAGTTGTAGTGGTGAGTATCCTTGAGATTGTACGATAGAGCATGATGATGATGACCTCATATAATGTTATGCGAGTAAGGAAAGTTTAGTATAGTATGTGAGAGGATATTTCTCATGACGAAAATGTAGAATGTATAAATGATGGATCGCAGTCAGTCAGCAATTGTCAGACTGAAACAATGCAGTGGTGAGTGGTGAGTGGTTGTGGTTGTGGCGCCAATGGCTTGGTTCCAGGTTGAAACACATTGCTTCTTCTTCCCTTTGGCTCGGGGTGGACAGTTCTTTATGTCTCTCCTGGCTTATTATCGTCATTGCTTTGAGCTTATGGGCTGGATTCTGGGAGTGGGAAACTGATGTCAGGAATTAGCCGGATAGATTTAGAGTTTCCTGGAGATGCGATCCGTCGGGTGGGTAAAGTCGTTGTATGAATGATGCAACTGGTTGGGTTATTAGTAATAACTTAATGCGAAGGGGATTACTGTGTAGTTTGTTGCAATCTTCGGGGCTGACTGGCTGGATTAGAATTGTTGTATGTTGGTCATGTCAGCTTGATGTTGGATGGATTTTGGATATATGGGTCTGGGTAGTAGTATCAATCTGTAGCTCTTTCCTCTGCTACTAAATTATATAATCATCTGTCTATTCTCTAACCATGAAAATGGCAAAGCCCTGGGGTATTCGTAGCTCTATATACACCGTATAATCGTAATGCTGGACATATTCTTCACATAACGTTGCACCCAATTCCATACATGGCTCGTTCGACGTCTCGTTTCACTTGGTACCAATCCGCCCGTCGCTCGGCGAACTCGTACACTTCCTCCACTCGCCAAATCCCATTGAACCGGTCCGCATCGGCGATGATGGTGGCAAGCTCTTTGGCATCAGAGGGGTCGATCAAATAGATCTGCGATAGTTCCCGGAACGCCTTGAAGTAGAGGAGAAGGTCGTTGTTCCTGAACGTCTGGATGAATTTGAAGTAGTGATTCATATCGCTATAAGAGGTCAGCTTCGCCATTAATCTCAGAGACACATAAAATCCTACCTGATGAGCTTCAACGACCCCTCAGTGCTAATCCTCTGCCGCTTCAGGTGCTTGCATAGAGCAGCAAACAGGCGGAGCCCGACCTCTTGGTTGAAGACGTCCAGCATACTCTTGTCTGTGCTGCCAACCAACATCTGTGTATGAGAAGAGACCACATCCACAACGGCCGCTGCAGCCTCGGTGATACTGACGTCCATCGTTTTACGATAGGGGTCAGTAGAGACACTAGGATTGAAGTCGGTCGCCAATTGTCTCGTTGCTAGAATGTAGTCCACTTCTTCCATCAAAACGTCGATTCCTTTGTTAAGCCCAGCAGCGACCCGTTCATCCAGGCTCTGCTCGAACTTTTTCTTTTCCTTGACGGCCGGGTCAAGGAAATCATTGCGGTCCGTCAGTTTGGTGCCGATGAGTTCCTGTTCGTAAAAGACATCGATCATCTGGAGAATCAGATCACCAACGTTCACCAGCTCCAGAAAGGTGACCAGCGGCTCAACGCCAGATTGGTCGCGTTCTCCTTGTTCGCGCGGCCTGTAGTTTGACAAGTGGTCCACGGCCTTATTAAACCCACCGATTAAGTGACGGTTTCCTAGAATGCGCACGAGGGCGACGAAGACCGCTTCGCACTGTTGTTTTGCAGCAGCTCCATATTCGCCTTTGATCTTTACAAACTGCGCGGCTCGCTCCAAGCTTGACTTGGCCGCATGAACCAGACTAAGAGCAACTTCTATGCTGAAAAGAGATCGAATACCCTCAAGTTTAGACTTCATGATCGCGGCTTTTGCCGCAAGCTCTGTGGTCGGCGCCTCCATAATAGGAGGCGTCGTGGGCGACGCGATGGTTGAAAACCGATTGGGACTCTTCAGTGACGAGGAGTCGCTGGCGGTGGGCTCCGATGGTGCCTTTTGCTCGTTCGCCTTGTTTCCTGAAAAGCTTGGAAGAATATTGACGGGAGCCATAATAACCTTCTTGAAAGAGGTTAAGAAGTCACGCTTATCAGCCTGCCTATTGATGTTCGACATCAAGAATGACTCCGTCGAGGCTGCCTGCTCCGATAGCTGTCTATCCCAGTCCCCCACGGCCGCCTCAGATAATTTCCGGAAATGATCCAATTCCTCTGCGAGATATAAGTCCATGTGAGGTACATAGGCTTTAGCAATGACATGATCCATGAATTCATCAAAACTGTCGTCCAAATTCTGAACTGGCAACAATGTGTCCGAGAGATTAAGGCATTGAGCAAATGTTCCTGAGACGGCAGTCAAGTAGGACTCGGTATTTGAGCCATGTAGCTCATCAAAAATGGCAGTCAGGAATGGGTAGAGCACATCCTGCCCAACCTTTTCGATAAACGGTGTCGATATTTTCATCGACGGGGGGAAAGCACGATTGATGATCGATACTTCCTCGTTATAGGCCACACTCAGCCGAGTGAAGAAGGCCTGTGTATGTTCAAGTTTAACCCGTTGCGAGAAAGGATCAATGCAGTCCGAGACTTTGCCGAGATCTGATTTTCTGGTAACGAGATGGTTGTGCTGTATGAAGAGTTCTACAGCTGCCTCTCCGCCGTTCAACGTGTACAAAACGTGGGCATATTTTCGCATCCTGTCATCAATATCCTCTGTCTCGTATCCATGTCTAAACTCCTTTATGGCCGATATTTCGAATATCGACACAGCAGACTGCAATTGTTCAAGCCGTCCACGCCAGCCTTCGTCTGCATCGCATTCGGAGAAGGATTGTAGTTGCGACAGTATCTGCGCTTGGTGCTGTGGATCGGTGTAGTTCTTGAAAAGCAAGCTATCCGGAGAAGGGCCGTTCGTAACGATGTCATTGTAGTATGGTGCCAGCGCTGCATGTACCTTTCCGTACTCCTGGCGTGCGTCTCCACGAACAGACTTGACTTGTTTCAGCGCGCCGATGACGGGATCACTATCTGATCCATCCGATATATCAGCATTGGCCGAAGTGGTTAGATTGATCTGGTCGAATCCGTCAGAGATCGATTGTAAATCGGCCCGGGAACTCCGTGAGACGTTGGGTGCAGGTTCGCCGTGCGGTGCTTGCGCATCCTCAACCTCTTGCTGCTCAACCGTTTGCACATCTGCAATAGTTCCGAACGTTTCTTCCGTATGCTTTCTTGCCTCCACCTCGTCCCAACAACCCATCCGTTTCAATTTCTGCACCCATCGCGTGTCATCGTATGCCATCTCGCGCAGGAGTTTGGAAGACCGGGCTACTCGTATGAGATCGACAGGGGAAAGGTAATCAAGGATTGAGGACATGATCTCTGGTCATTGTTAGAATATCCTGCAGTGAATGCGATCCATCTCCCCGTTCGGTATTTACAGTCGAGACGTACCTGCTGGAAGAATGGCCCTGGAGATTTCTTCCATCGAGGCCATCTTGAGGGAAGCCAGAACATCCTTGCGCGGCTTCACGCCGGCACCTGGCCCAGTCCTCGCTTTCTGCATCTTGTAGTTTCACAGTCGGCATCGGGAGGGACGTCGAGTTAGTCCGTCAAAGGCTCCAGAAGCTCAGCGCGGACAAGCCGGTCAGGGTCCCAGCGTTCCCACCGACTAGCTCGCTCCGCGGGGCTGCCCCAATTAGTCGAACGTAAACCCGAGTAATCGAGCGACACCGGAATTGCTGGCAAAAATGGGGGATCATGAAACATCGGTTCGCATGGCGGAATCATAGCCCCTAAATCTGAGGAATGGAACAATCCACGGCGCCGAGCAATTGCGTCGGTTGGTTGTGGCAGTTCGTCACTGTGGGCGGAACACCCCAGAAATTCCACGGTTTGGATCGGCCGGCTGCTTGCTCCGGAATTCCAACTCACCCCAGTAAGCAGTATCACCACCTGTTTCACAATATCCTAACAACGATCCGAGTAGGTGCAACATGGTTAAGTTTTTTTCGATGAACATCAAATTCTGAAACATCCGGTGGGTAGTCATGGTGATCCGTTCGCAAATTTTCCCCAGAGTCTGCCAGTGGGGCGATATATATATTAAATTCAGGACATCGACGGAGAGTAGTAGTGCTCTTAGTAGGACTCAGGTGGTATTTTCCTGTGTCGAAATCATCAAGTTCCAACAACCCTGGAAAACAAGGCATTAAGTTGAATACTAATAATACCAATTAACCCTTCCATACGAACTTTACTAGTACCATCAACTTAGGTATCAGAATTATATCGGCTCATTGAGCCAAACAATCTCCCCTCCTTTTAGATACTAGTTGATATCATTCAGTCACCATATTATTCTGATGAGCGTCTTGCAATCGACCTTCTACTTATTATGTAGTGGGCTGACCTTGCATATATGCTTGTTTTACATGTTTAATGCACTCCAGAAGACCAAGAACAGACCAACAATCTAGGAGATGAGGGTGAATTGGATGCCACAAATGTAGACGAAGTTATCGGTATTGAAGTATTGAAGCGTCACAGTACCGAGTATGAGATTACCTCTCAGACCGGCCACAGATGTTCACTTTACGTTCCTCATTCTCTCTTCTCTGAATCGTCTCCCCTCCCAGACCCACAAGCAAAATGGACATGAGCGTCAGCAGTTGCGTTTCAAACCCAGTGGAAGAGTCTCAACGCCCCATATTGCATATTGAGGCTCGAGTGAAATGTGCTAGTGATGGCATGATCGTTCGCACTGATCTGGTAGGCTGCTTGATACACTTGCGATTCATACATTGACGGAACAGCAGGTTAGGGATGAGGTTACAGAATGGCTTCACAATAATTTCATCGTGATGTCTGTTGATCAATTTATCAATTCTTTCGGTCAGGAATCTATCAAGACGATAACCCCCCGAACATCTTTCTGACGATGAATAGGAGGTCTAAGCGAACCACATGCTCAAGCCCTGGAGTTTATACTCGTAACCGAATGTAGCGGCGGCAATCTGGAGTCCGGTGCATATCGACTTCAGGATGTCCAATTGGACGTTCAAGTGTACCAACTGCGTACAAAATCGGAGCGACAAAGCTTGCAGAAGACCAGTGCACTTGAGGATTCAGCAGAAGCCGGGGGTGGAGTCGCTACGGCAAGAGTACTGGCCTTACCGAGCATAGATCTGGAGGGATTATGGGAGACGTACGCTGACCTGCTAATTCTTCCAACGCTGAAAGTAACTGATCATTTGCATAGGTTGGATTACGATCAACCAATTCAGTCGACGCTTCTTTCGGCTATAAGTAGAATGGGTGATGCCTTCCTTTACAACTTGCATCTCATGGCTTACTCTAACTTGAGCAGTCTCGTTTTCTACTCGTAAACTCGATAAGTGGACTATCAATTGGAACAAGTTGATACTCATATGGGGGCCACCAGGAACTGGGAAGACAAGCCTTTGGTTTGTGGATGTGTTACATAGAGTGTGGTCAGTGGCTAACTGATTTAGTCGCGGTCTTGCCCAGAAGCTTGCAATACGCCTGGGAAAGGATTATCCCCAGAGCAAGCTATTTGAGATCAACGCATACTCTTTAGGAAGCAAATATTTCGGCGAGAGTAGCAAACTTGTGAATGGAATGTTTGAGAACATTGAGACATTTCTCCAGGAGGAAGAAGATACATTCGTTTGTGTATTCATGGATACTGAGCAGCAATGAGCCCTTTGACGCCATTCGAGCAGTCGATGCGGTACTCACAGGGCTGGATAAGCTGAAAGAACATTCGAATGTTATCGTCGTCTGCACCAGCAATTTGATTACGGCGCTGGTAAGCTCCTAATCAGCGCCGAGTGCTATGCATTAACGCTGACGGTGCACTCGCGTGTAGGACCAAGCTTTCCTCGATCGAGTTGATATCAAACAATACATACCGCAACTATCTAGCAGACCTATATATAATATCTACAAGGACTGCCTAGAGGAGTTGAGCCAGAGTGGACTCATTGAGGGTGTTTCATTCGACGTGGTCCAAGTTACTCCGGACGATCCCCAGACGGCTTTGCAGTATGTGGAGCAGGCTGCGGAACACCTCACCCTCCCGACTTTTGACGAAGTGCTGCTGCACTATAGATCGTTCCCCGATGCTATACCCACGCTACTTGCTAATGCTGTCTTTGAAAGTGAGGTTAGTGATTCTGGACGAAGATGAGCATTCGGTATATATGTTGGAGTATTGACGATGGCGATTAGGGGCTTAGCGGTCGCACGGTTCGAAGACTACCCGCTCTATCGTTGATTCTTTATAGTAACGGTACCCGATGCGATATTCGGACAGCGATTGAGGCGCTGCGTATGGGAATAGCGTCGGAATGGCAGGCTAAGACGGAGGCGACGATGACTATGGCGGAAGAGCAGCTCTCGGGAACAACACAAGCCAATGGCCAATGAGAGCGATGGGATTGATGGGGGAGTGTGTGTGCTGGGGTCAGCGCGGAGGAACGGAACGGGGGTGTGAGGAGCTGGGAGGCTAATGACGAAGCGATGGAATTGTTTGATATGCGTATGTAATTGAAGCTCGGAATGCATCCTCGTAGAACTTCTCCCATCATGTTATCGCGAGAACGGGGAGATGGTGTTGGTGGTCAGCAATTATCAGGTGGCCGCCGAAAATTGTTGTTCCGAAAAGTCGCGGTTTTCACCGAAGGCAGTTAGGACCGGGGCGGCAGCCAATCAGAACGAGGGTTTAGGCAATTCCAAACCCAAGAGAAACTTGACCCGTTCGACCAACCTCGACTTCACCTCCAAAAGCACATTCTCCTGTGCGCTCAGCCTTGTCCCCTCCCCCTCCCCTCTCCCCTTCTTTGGCTATCGTGCCTTCTTAAATACCCCATTGTCCGGAGGGTCTTTCACATCGTCAGTATGCTGGCACGTACTGTTTTGCGCAGCGTGCCCTTCCGGGGCGTCGCACGCCAGTCCTTGAACAAGACCTCCACGGTACGAACTTCCCCGACATTGACCGTCCATTGAACCCAATGGACGAGGACAATCGCTTCTCTATCGCACAGGAAAGCTTCTGTATGGGTTTTTGACTAACGAATCACCCAGCGTGCGTCTTCCTCCGCCGCCGGTGCCGAATCCGCCAGCTCCCCCTTCCACCTCACACTCACTGCGTCCGCCGCAACCGCCGTCGCTCTCGGATCCGCCGCGTATCTCTATGGCCAGGAGGCTTTTGCCATGACACCTGCTGAGGAGGGGTGAGTGGATTATCGGTGATGCTCGAGGGAATGGTCAACGCGTTGCTGGCTGCTCCGTTGCTCCGACCGAGGCATCATCTTCCCGATTCCGACTGTTTGACATCAAGACTGACGCACATCGAAATCAAGATTGCACCCTACCGCTTACCCTTGGGAGCACGCCAAGTGGAACAAGACCTTCGATCACCAGGCGTGAGTCTTCCAATTGCGAGCGAATAATACCCTCGCCATCTCTCCCCGATACCGGCCATCTTACTCATGTTTTGCACTCCAGCCTCCGTCGTGGTTTCCAGGTCTACCGTGAAGTCTGTGCCAGCTGCCACTCCCTGACCCGTGTGCCTTGGCGCTCGTTCGTCGGTGTCATGCACACCGTCGATGAGATGAAGGCCATGGCCGAGGAGAACGAGTACGACACCGAGCCCAACGACCAGGGCGAGATCGAGAAGCGTCCCGGAAAGCTGTCCGACTACATCCCTGCTCCCTACAAGAACGAGGAGGCTGCTCGTGCTGCCAACGGTGGTGCTCTGCCCCCGGATCTCAGCTTGATCGTCAAGGGCCGTCACGGTGGCTGCAACTACATCTTCAGTCTGCTGACTGGTTACCCCGATGAGCCCCCGGCTGGTGCCACCGTCGGTGCTGGCATGAACTTCAACCCCTACTTCCCCGGTACCGGTATGTCACCATTTGCAGTTTACATCTGACAATTGATTCGTCTATGCTCAGTACTAATTCTAACGATATCTAGCCATTGCCATGGGCCGTGTTCTTTTCGATGGTGTTGTCGAGTACGAGGATGGCACCCCCGCCACTACCTCCCAGATGGCTAAGGACGTTGTCGAGTTCCTCAACTGGGCTGCCGAGCCTGAGATGGACGACCGCAAGAAGATGGGTGTCAAGGCTATCACCCTCCTGACCGGTCTTTTCGCCATCAGCGTCTGGGTTAAGCGTTACAAGTGGTCCCCGATCAAGACGAGAAAGATTGTGTACAGCCCCCCCGTTTCCCGGCGCTGAATGTTGCAGCGGACTGTATGAATTGCACACCGTGGAGGAAAAATACAGGCGGCCAGTGAGCCTTGATATAATCCATCGTCCAACAAGTCATGTTGGTCCCACGTCGCCATTTCCTTCAACCTGTCACTCTATTCGATGGTCTCTGCATGTTTCGTTAGATGTTACTCAGGACACTTGTATCTGTACCCTAGATATTTATTCTCCGTTGAAAATGTTGCTTCAAGATCCAATGTCACAATTTCCTTTGTTAGCTATTACACATGTTGTATGGGCTTTGGTATACAATAGCCGTTCTGTCTTTCACTATGGGAAGGCTTTATAGAATGCCTCAATGTATTTATTTGGTTGTATTTGCATTATTAAAAACCAGTCTTTTTATTATACAATCACCAGTGAGGATAGCGTCATCACCTGAATACTTTTATCTAGATCGGACAAAAAATTATGACCGCGCAGTACCATCATCGATTGTCCTTTCCCCATCCCCAAAGACACCCCGAAACACATTATCATACGACCGCCACATGGCAAAAAAGACAGCATCCGCCAATCTAACCAGCCAAGGGGGACTGCGTCCATCCGAGCCCGCAGAAATCCTCTGCAAAAGCAAGACCAAAAGTACCGGCGTCATCCATACACCCGCAAACAGCACCTTGCCCACCTTCTGCCGCAGGGTAGTTATACGATAAGGCTGAATCCCAGCAAGATATGTCCTGTACGCAACGGGAAAGTCATGCTCAGCGGCGCCCATGCTGATCAGGTTGAGATAGCGAGCCGAAGGCTGGGCGTAGAATGGGTTCGGGCGGATGAGAGGGCTAAAGCGCGAGACGAAACCGCATTGTTTCCGGCTCGTGAGAGCTTGGTCTTGTGTAGTAGCTACCAGTAAGTCCTCGGCAACGGCAGGGGATAGAAGCGTGTGGGCTTTGAAGGGCTTCGTGCTTGGACGCTCAGGGAGAGGGTCTGTGGGGTTGTAGGCCTTCGGGAAGGGGTAGCAGTCGACGACTTTGTCTTCGTATCCGCGTCCTCCGCCCTCTGTTGCGATTATCCGGGCGTAGTCTGTGAGGGTGACCTCGTAGACGACGCCGACGAGGGGCATGCTGGGGTTATAGTCGGGGTCGTCCTTATGGAGGAGACGCGAGGCCTCCTCCATTGTAGCGTTCCCGTCTAAAGCATTGTCTTTTTCTTGGACTGGGGGTTTTCGAAGTCGAGTTGCTGCAAAACAAGGCTCAAGATATGGTATGCCTGGGAGATCGAAGGTGAGCCATAGATCTGGGACGACGACGTTGATTTGAGAGAGCGGCTTGATGCCTCGCCTTCCCAGGAATGTCTCCGAGCATAGGTTCGAGCCGTAGGCAAGGTATAGAACGGTTTCGTCAGGCGGTGGGTTTCCGTCTCCGATCTCCTCGAAATGATGGGTAGTAACCTTGTCCGCAAGGTCGGCGTCCTTCTCGAGAGACCGATCTGTTGTCGATACTTGTCTCCTCTCGGGGGTTGTTTCAGGCAGAAAATGGCCGGTTTCTTGTTGGGAGGGGTGTGTGTGACCGGTCAGAGGGCTGATTTCTCCGAGTCGCTCGTATGTTTCGATCATGCTCGAGCGGCGTGTGCGAGGGATGGAGTGGCCTCCTTCTTCGTCTCGATTGACTGCCGCCATCTTTTTAGAATGGTCAAGCTGGTCCAGTTGGTTAATAAATCTTGCCAAAATAGTTCCTGTCCGTTAGTCAACCAGGGTGACAAAGGTATGAGCAAATGTATATGTCCATTATAAATAGTGACTCCGTGCTTTGTACCACGGCTGTTCATGCAGACACCACGGCTCCCAGCGGAAACGCATAACGAGCATTCCGGTCATCTTCCCTAATTGGAGCGGAGCCGGAGTAGCCTCGGGACGGATACTCCAGCAGCCGGCTTACCAATATCCACTAATTCCAGGGAAATTCCATCCATTACCATCCAATATGTTCGACGTGAGTTTGAGAGCTTCCCAAAGACCCGGGGGAATGTGATATTGATATACTTCCCAGTGGAAGTATTGTGCTTGCTAGCGCACTATCGCGCGATATCTAGCTAATCAAGTTGGGGACTGATTGGGGCCCTGCGGAAGCGAAGCGGAGCTTATGCTGGTTGTCCATCGTAGGCTTCTTATCGTGAAATGCTTATTTTCACCCAACATTGTCTTGGAAAAGGAGGGCTTTCATTTTCCCTATCTAATAATAGCTGCTAGTTGTACGCAAATGCTTCTGCTCAAGATTTGCGACGTAAAATTAATCGGTTCATTGTGGGATTTGACTTCGTCATTGTGAGCCAGAAGGCAAGGTGCGTACCTCACATCGGAGCCTGCACATCATGGAATCAATTTTGCTGGCCTTGATGAATGTTAGCAGTCTCTAAATAGCACTTATATCAAGAAGAATGAATGTAGCTTACTGTCTGTGGCGTATAAAATAAACACATGGATTGAGTGAGATATAGGTCATGTTAATATATCTGGCTTTCGCTTGCTCGCTTATATTGGAGTAGATACTACTTCGAGTCAATGGCCCTCTTGACAAGCTTCGCTATTACTGTCAAAGCTTTGAATGCTGAGAACAAAATAGAGCAACTGGAGAATAGGCGTACTTGGAGACGACAATTGAATGAGGCCATTCCGGTCAAGTGCAAATACACCGTCATGTGATAAAACCTCTTACGGTCTTTGAATCCGTAGCTCCCATCAACTGCCACTTCAAGTCTATAACACTCCACAAATCTCGAATTTAAGAAGGCAAAATGGCTTCTTTGCTTGTTGATGCGTCTCAGGAAGAATCACAATGGACTTGTATCTCAGAGCTAGCCTCGCAACTGGCCTCTATGATGAATATTGGAGGTGATACTGAGAATAGTCTCCTAGTTTCGGAGCCTTATTATACTTGTCTTCTGCGTGATCCCCGACTTTATACATTCTCGGACCAGCTGATCCAGGCCCTGCTACATCATGTGTCTAAGGTCGATAACTGCAACATACACCAACTACTGTCCATCCTGAAACGGCATTCTAAGCGAATACTCCAGGGGCTTGATCGCTCTTCGCTGCGTTGCCTGGCATACTTACTGCTCAATTCAGACGAGGAAACCAGATTGAAGAATGGACTCTATCTGCTGCTGGTCTGCTGGATACCTATACTTGCACGTCTTAGCTCTCTAATGCTTTCCATAGGATGAACCGCAATATATGAAGGACTCGGGACATATGGTATACCAAGTAGCAAGCCCAAGGATTGGGGACAGATCCCGCTTGCTTCAAGAAAGAATATTGAGCAAACTATACTTACTATATTCCACCGAAGGGCAGGCTACTTGGCTACGGAAATTGGTGAGATAAAGACAATATGTGGTTATACCGATTCTCATGGTGAACAGGCCGGCAAATTGTTTCTGGAGATACTTTCGGAGCCAGAGCATAATCATGCTTCCCTCATTACATCCAAAGATGTAGACATGTCACGGTATTATATGTTTATCTGATGTGAGCGATATTGTTTGTGCTAACGCGAAGCGTTGACTAGACTCTCGTACATCATACTCAATGGCAACTGTGCCTTGAAACTGCTCGCAGCAATCATGATTCATGCGCTACATAACTTGGGAGTGAGCGACGAAGTTCTCTGGCCGCCAGACAATAGCACGGATAGAGTCAGGTTCTTTGATACTATGCCGTCATATGAAGATGATCCGCTGCAGCACTTTCAAATCTTATTCGATACGGTTGTCCTATCAGATGCGGCAATGCCACCGAAATCGATAGACTTAAGTACGACGTCCCAGCTTCGACGATGCTTTCTCCTTCACGCAATAGGCATCGACACGACGCTCCTGATTGAAGGAATCGTTCTCGCCATGATCGGTGATGGATGCTTGACGTTCATGAGCTATCGACAGGACACAGCGAGAATGTGCCTAGAATACGTTGACGTCTACACTCAGAGCATTTGTCTACCAGTGCGCTCGATTACGGACAAAACTAAGACATATAGTCTAATATTAGACCTTTCTCAGCATGGACTACTCGTGAAAAGCGGCAAACGCCTATGTTTCGGGGGCCAAACTTTGAGCATATTGTCCGATGAAGATCCTTGCGATCTGCGAATGGCCATCGAGGAGTTCTGTCGGAATGACCGAACCTCTGTAGATACAGATAGTGTATTCCGGAGGTCTTCTTCAACGGTGATGGAACTGGATACAGGCGATGAAGTCGCAAGGAAATCTTCTGGAATTCCACCCAACAATATACAGGGGCAGGATGGACCCTGCACAGGTTTCGTCTCGATACAAAAGTCTCGGCAAGTGCTGGAGAAACCTCCAGAAGTGCTCGAGGAAGGGAATACTAATAATGAGAACCTGGCACATGTTCTTTCAAAGCGTAACAGCTCTCAGGATTATCAGCGGGCACATTACGCGGGTGAACCTCCCATGCCAACATCAAACCCATCACTGACCAGAGTACCGGAGAAACCAATCGGCAGATTTGCACCAAAACCAGATACTGAAAGAAGAAGAACAGGTCGCTTGCGGAGTGGGAATAAAGGTAAAAAACATCTATCTAATACTCAAGAGTCTATGGTCATATATACGCGACATCCCAAACAGAAGGTATATACAGCCAGCTCCAAAGCTGCTGTTGACTGGGACGAGGATCTCCGACCTAGCGATAATGGAGCGAGACAACCTCTCAAAGATGCAGACATAACTTCAATTTCATCCCCCATGCCTGGTGAGACGTCTCTTACCGGCAGTCATCTGGCAATTCCGGGCAAAAAGAGAGCAGCCAAAAGAAGGAAACTAGCCACAAAGCGCAAGAATAAATCATCTCGTTTTGCAAAAAAGATCGGGAACATTACCAATAAATCGACAGCAGCGCTACCACTTGCAGAAGATGCCGACAACCACAACCGAAAGTCACAACACATACTAGGATCAGGTGATGACATAAAGAAGCTGATACTTTGTTCCAGCAACGGCCGCTCTGAAAGCATTGACGAGGAGAGAAATGGAGCAGGTGCCACGGCCAAATGTGCCGAGCTCTACCCAGATAATGACTTCGTTAGATATGACTCTGCTACACCACAACACGAAGAGAACCGCACTAGATCACCCCGAATTCAACCCTGTAGGAAAAATGAAAGTTTTCTAAGCCACCAGCATCAGCTATCTACAAGTAAGGTGGGTGATAACGATCATCAGTTGAATTCTCCAGAGAGCCATCCGACCCCACAAGGACTCCAAGGCAGGGGCCGTGCAGTTGGGAACAAGCTGTCTGCAGCTTTTCAGCAAGGAGACCCTTCATCAGGCACCAGCGGACATAAAGAAAACAGCTTAGAGCATATAAAGACCCAAAACAAGCCGAGAAACGAAAACGGGCTTGTTTTGTCAGACATATTATATGCTTCCGTGGGAGAGAGTGGTATACAGGAGAAGTTCGAGCCCACGGAGTCTGTCATAGAAAGATATGCCATTTATAATAAGTTGCCCTTAACTACACCAAAAGAGCAAATCACGGGCAGTTTTGAGGATGACATTTATGCAGAAGGTTCTGTCGTAAGGCACATGAGCAGGAGCAGTTCTTTCAATATCGACAACGAGGAGCAAAAAACGGTGTCTCAGTCAGCTGGCTCCGCTGTATCAAGTCCATTATGTGCAGAGGAGGATCGTTCTGATGCAGAAATTCCCTCTGAAGTTTGCCCTGGAAGCCTCGGGGCCGCGCAGAACATTTGCAGTTCTGACATGCATGAAAACACATCTGAAGGCATAAGAAGCCCGCAGGCTAGACCAGAGAAGAGAAGGATAGCTGCGCTCAGTTCGGATGACATGCGAGATGACCCACCTACAAGGGACCAGGCCTCGGGAAATGCTTTTAAGGAAGAATCCAGGCGGCTTGTTCGCAAAGATCACTTGTATCCCACGAAAAGATTGAAAGTTACCCCCAGATCAACCATCGTTGATTCTGATGGAAGCCCCCGCCTTCTGTTCCGTATAAGAAGTGGATGCATCGTTGACAGGACCGGCGTGGACGAAACGTATCCACAAGTGTCAGGCACGAAATACACGTCCTCCACCAGGGAGCACGTTCGGGAGATCCTGAGAGATGGGGAATTTGGTGCACAAGATGACGATCTATCTGCTTCATGCGAGCGAAACGTAATTCTAGGATTAAAGCATTCCAGGGCCTGCACGAACAGAGAGAAGGGAGTACTGACTTTCCAGGATCGTCTAATGGCATGTGCAGGTAAACCTACATCAAGCAAGACCCCGCTTAGAAATCCCGCACGATCAAGTCCTGATGCACATTTGACATTGGGATGCGATAACAAGCCTCATGCGACATGCAACTCCCTACCTCGGGCGACAATAGTTCCAGACCAATTATCGGCGCAGCCAGGTTTGCCCAAGTCGGACAATATCGCAGATGGTGTCCTGGAGCACACCAGCTGGCAGACCTCCCTGCAGGCGCTTCACAAAAGAGCGCAAGGCATGCTTCTTGCGACCAGCGAGGTAGGTGACATCCCATGGGGATCGCAAATATTCTTACTGAGTTGGCCGCAAGCATATAATACAAGAGATTGAGAGCGAGAAAAAGACCATCAACGAAGTTTTGGAGATGTATCGGCGAGATTGCCACCGAGTGCTGGATCAGCTCTTCGAGGCCCAAGAAGAACGAATAAGACTGTGCCAGCAACAGATGAACTCCATTCGCGAACACCATATCGAAGTATGCCAGGAGTTGATGCAGCGTCTAGAGCGGGACGAAAAGCAGCTTCAGGATCGCATGCAGTTGAGAAAATGAAATGAAGCTTGGCCTCATCATCTCATCATTTCAGCTTTTGATGCTCCGACTTCAATGACGAGGTTTCCGGTCCGGGCTGATTCGGATCCGGATAGTATACACTTCTACTGAAGTTTGTCTCATCTTTGCTCGGGCGATGGCTCTGTACTTATTTCTTACAGCCACGGCTAGTCGTATCTGCATTGATTCGTATTCTGCAACACTCAAGGGGCGAAATTCAGATCCAAAGAGAGATTAGTGCCAACGTAGCGTCCGTGCCAGGATGATCCGAAACTATATACAAAGTTTCCGCCCCCATTCGAGGTCGTAATGGCAGCTCCAGGGGCGTCATCTATTGCTAAGGCTGACTGACCATCCAACGCCGGACCATGCCCCGGGCATGTGGTACGGGATAGCGGATGACGGACTACGGAGTATCCATTCATGCTGCTCCGAGCAGGAAGAGAAGGAATGAGAGACGAATGGCAAAGTAAGCCAATGGCAGGCGATACCGCGGGCGAGGCGCTTTTTTGGGCCTCGCCCCATTCGTCCGCTCACCGGAAAATCACGTGGCGATTACCCAATGAGGCAGGAATGACTCGACACTGCCAAAGAAATAGTACTTTTTTTTCTGGCTTTTGCTTTTTGAGAGACTCTGCAAGGAGACAATTCCAGTGATACTTCTCTCATACATCTTTCCTATATATTCGTTGAGATTCCACCCGGTTGCAATCTCGAATTTTCAATATATCAATCAAATCTACTAGTATTCTATTAAACTCTCATCGATCCACTGAACCGATCTTCCCTTTTGACTTACTCATCCATACCTCCCGTCGGGCATACTATCTACCTATCTAAGCTGCGACTTTATCGCCTCTCCTTCTCTCATCTGCCCCTCCGTCTGTCCACTTGCTACCCCGCCGCACCACCATGTCGGTACGTTTTTGCTTTTTCCAGCATTTCAACCTTCTCAATGGCAATATTAATACTCATACTACCTCCAGTTCTTCATTGAAAACCCTAATGTCGGGGACAGATGCTCCCTCGAGGATTCCAGAAGTAAGTGCGCCCGTGACTCACCTCTTGCAAATTTCCGTCCCTCGTTAACCCTCGGTCTCTCTGTTCCTCTACAGTCCGTGGATACAACCCTCTCACACCCCCCAACCTCCTTCAACATGAAATCGCCATGACGGAGAAGTCCCGGCAAACGGTCATGGAAGGTCGTGAGGAGGCTATTGCTGTCGTCCAAGGCACAGACACCGACCGTCGCCGTTTGCTGGTTGTCATCGGCCCTTGCTCCATCCACGACCCCGAAATGGCCCTCGAATACTGCGATCGCCTCATGAAGATGAAGGAGAAGTACCAGGATGAGCTGCTGATTGTCATGCGCTCCTACCTCGAGAAGCCCCGTACCACCGTTGGCTGGAAGGGTCTCATCAACGACCCCGACATTGACAACAGCTTCAAGATCAACAAGGGCCTGCGCACCTCCCGTCAACTCTTCGTCGACCTGACCAACAAGGGTATGCCCATAGCCAGTGAGATGTTGGATACCATCTCCCCCCAGTTCCTGGCCGACTGTCTCTCCGTCGGCGCCGTTGGTGCTCGCACCACCGAGTCCCAGGTCCACCGTGAGCTGGCTTCGGGTCTGTCCTTCCCCGTTGGTTTCAAGAACGGCACCGACGGCTCCCTGGACGTCGCTGTCGATGCAATCGGCTCCGTCAAGCACCCCCACCACTTCCTGTCCGTCACCAAGCCCGGTGTCGCTGCGATCGTCGGCACCGTGGGCAACCCCGACTGCTTCGTCATTCTCCGTGGTGGCAAGAAGGGCCCCAACTTCGATGCTCAGAGCATCGCCGAGGCCAAGGCCAAGCTGATCGCCAAGGGCATGCCTCCCCGCCTTATGGTCGACTGCAGCCACGGCAACTCTCAGAAGGACCACAAGAACCAGCCTAAGGTGGCAGCTGTTCTGGCCGAGCAGATTGCTGCTGGAGAGACCGCTATCATGGGTGTCATGATTGAGAGCAATATCAACGAGGGTATGCTCCACCCCCAATCCCTACACTTTGTACATTAGTATGCAACTAACATCACCGCAACAGGCAACCAGAAGGTCCCTCCCGAGGGCAAGGCCGGCCTCAAGTACGGTGTCAGTATCACCGACGCCTGCATCCACTGGGAAGACACGGAACTTGTTTTGGAGAACCTCGCACAGGCTGTGCGCACCCGCCGGGAGAAGCTTGCTGTCAATGGCAACGGCAACTCCCAATAAATCAGTCACTAGTTGGGACATGTCTCTTTTCTTCTCTTTCCTTTTTCTGCATTGCTGTTAACACTTGTTCCTATATGGGGTTCAACACGTTATGCTCAGCCATACCATTATTGTTCTCTCGACGCATGGGTTGATTAACGGATCGGATTTATTTCTTCTAGCGGTTGTTGACTTATTCATTTTTGCTTATATCTTGGATGAGATGAAAAAGTGATGTCTATTCCATGTTGTATCCTACTTCTTTCGGATTGTAGTACACGTTCTCCTTCAAAAGATCTCGGTGAAATTCCGTGGCTCATATGTTATGTACGGATAGTATCGTGGGACTCTATATACTATAGGACAGATATTAGGCTTATGTCATTAGGTTACCTGAGAATAACCTGACAGCAGGTTTCAAGCATTGAAAATATTCATGGCCCCTGGCCTGCGTGCCTTAGAGACATATACACTGTGATGATGACTATACGGCCATAGAATACGTTACGTGAGAGGACCGTATCAGCATGCGAGAGCATTGAGTAACCAAATTAGTTGAATTGTACTCTATGAAGACCAGCCAAAATTTTGCGCAATAATGTCACGGGACTATGTCTACTTTCTATACTCGACCCACTGGTGCCACTTTGTAAAAGGAAATAGCTGGGTATAACTCCCATGAAAAAGACGCAGAAACTGGTGCTGTCACATAGCCAGGGCCCATGGGGGGCTTCTTAACGTGATACGGAAGTTTGCATGGATCAGAAAGGCCCCGGGATACGAGGTTTATTAATAGCAAATATCGACAAGAGCATCGGGAATCCTCCCTAGAGTACATAAGTTGATAGTACATGCAAGCTATTTTGGCATCAATGCGTCGAATGAAACCTCCTATAGGAAGGCTTCTGGTATCACTAAACGAGAGATAAGGAAACCATTATGAACAAAGATGAGTGACATCTAAATCTGATCGCGTAAAATTGACCGTCTCACCCCGAGAGTGTGAGACTATCAGGCGTATATGGCCATCTATGACATCAAAGGCATAGCATCGTAGATCATGGCGGGAGAAAGCAACTCATACAACAAGGGGGTGATTAGGAAGTAATACATATATATAGGCAGTGTTAGTGATCGATTGACTGAGATATTGTGGAATCAGTCCACTTCGGCGCTTATGAAGCAGTCTCAGACGGACTCATCGGCCGCGTCGTTTTCGGAATTGCGATGCTCCAGTTCTCCCTGCAGTTCCGGAACCATCGTACGTCCCGGAAGCCATGCATCGTGGAGAGGCAGGATCAGGCTTGGGTTGACATACTTCCTCAGCCGCAATCCAAGTTCTTGTCCACCGATGCGGATCGGAAAAGAATCGCGGTCGATGCCGGATGGAGGAGAGAAGGTCGAGGACGGGGACGGGGAGATGTCCCCCCCACCAGGCCGCTCGCGGTCAATGCTCTTTAGAGCGATGAACTTCATAAGAGGCTCGTAGGTCCGTGCAAAGAAGTAGCTGAACCATACGGTTGCCATAAGGAGGGGCACAATAAGCAAAGAGCGCGTAATAGCCCGGCGTAAGGCAAGCACGCCGATCATCGCGAGCTGGAAAACAATCAAGCCCATCAGAATTCGACTGCAGATCATCGGCCATGCGCGTCCCGTCGAATGCTGCTGATGATCCATCGCGTACAGAAGCTGGTACTTGTAGATAAACTTGCCGATGGTGAAATAAATCAACCCGAATAGGCATATCAACCATGAGCTAGGGAACACGCTGTATACAACACAGATGATAAGGCTCAGAACCGTCTGCGGAATGGAATACCCGTAACTGAATGTAGGGGGTGTGGATAACTCAGCATAATCCCGAGGGGTCTTAGCGGCCAGAAAGTTGATGGGATACATGGCAACACTTCCGAACTCTAGGAGTCGGAACGGGAACAATCCTATTCCTTGAAGACATAGGAAGTTAATGTAGAATGGAGCAAAGTTTTCCAGAGTCTTGGCCAAGGCAAAGGCTATGGTCGTAGCATCTTTGAAGGCGTCTCGCAGATTCTCCCAGAACCCGTAGAATGTCGTCGCAGTTCCGAACACCGTGAAGACAAGAAAGAGGTTAAAGAAAGAGAAGAAAAAGGTCTTCGATATGACTGACAGCTCAATGTCACCTCGCGACATCATGCCTTGCTGGTTCGAGAGCCCTGTGATCAGGTTAGCGCTGAGAGTTGACATGAAAAGACGTTGGGATATATCATACAGTTATACAAGTAAGGCACAGCGACAGTCAACAGCGAGAGGACCAAGGTCGGCAGACCAGTCTGCACAAGGGACTTGGCAAGTGGGTTCCGAGCAAGAGCGTCGGCCAATTGAGGGAACACCTTGTGGAGAGTCTCGTACTCAAGCAGATAGGCAACGGGAATCAAAAGCACCGACCAGAATACAGTCAGGAAGCCAATGACCACAGTGATGAACCAGGATTGCATCATCCGCCTCGAGCGCGGAAGGTAGGTGTTTTTCCACACGACATCAGCTGGTGCTGGTGCCAGTCTAGCGAGCAGTTGCATGGGGTGAGGATCAAGTATGGCTTGTACAACCATCTGAGACGCGGCAATCGACTCCATCGTGACGAAGGCGACCTCAGTAGGCGGATATTCCTTTTGGCGAGCAACCTGGATCTTCTCGTCGAGACGACGTAGCTTTTCTTCATAGTAATCGATCGCATCGATGTTCTTATAGCGTAGCTTGAAAGGCCCATACCAAATGCGCACTGTTGGCCGCTTGTGTGCATAGTCCGTAACATGATCGCGTCCTCCTTCAGAGAGAAGCTGGATTCGTTCACTCTCTCCATCTGAGACAATACTAGAGCCACGCGGCTGCTGGTGCATCATGGTCAGTGCGTTCGGACTTGCCTTAACCCGTTTGTAGCCCAGGTGCCTAGTCCAAGCCCGCTCGAGATTTCGCAGAAGTTTCAGTCGCTCGTCGATCAGGTGGTCTAATTCGCGCCAGTCCCGACACAGTGTGACACTCTCGACCTTACCCACTTTAAGGCCTTCCATGAAATCCTTGATCTTCTCCTCGGTCCCCAAATCCGGAGGGATCCCAGACAAGCGAATAGTCCGATCGGTCGTACTGGTCTGGCTTCCAAGGTATTTTTGCCTCGTGCGGATGACCTTATTGGTCTCTTGGATGAGCATGTAGACAGCAAGCCCAGTGAAAATGTATGTAAAAATGACATACATCCACAAGTAGTTCGGATCCGATATGATCTTCTTCTTGTCTTTGTCTCCATCGAATGTCTCGTCATCATCGTCATCCCAACCAGGAACCCCCGATTTACCGGTATTCTTGTAGTGTGTCGGTAGAATGATAACCAAGGCGAAGAAGAAGATAGCGGAGAGGAATCGAATGGCGAATTTCAGGAAAGTGAGGAACTGTGATAACAACTTCGTGTCAGACAAGATCGATTCTGACATCCAGCTCGTAGTCGAGGCGAAAGACAGAACTTACAACGAAAGCATCCAAGCCTGCAGACTCCAGCACCTGCTCATCAGTGATCCGATATAGTACAGGTATCCAGCCAAAGAAACTATCAGGTAGTTCGGGCAAGTATGAAGCTGCGCAGCGTTGTCGTCGCCGAGCGGCGTATAGTTCGGTCCATTTCGGTCGTAGAACCTATAAGAGACGCGAGCTGTTAGAGGAATTCCATTCATTCTTGCGTTCCGCAAAGACTTACACAGAAGGAAAAAAAGGCGCTGAGCCCGACGAGTAAACTGATCACTAGTTGTGTGTACAAATCGCGGCCCCTCGTCTGGTCATCCCAACGAGGCTCATGCACGTCAATGGGACTGTCTACCACGACCGCGGCGGTCAGCATGGCTGCCGCGGCGGATTCCGTGAGAGACATGACGCTCCAAAAGCAGATGTTCTGCGCCGGGGATGTAGTGGATGATGTTCAGCTTTGTTAATGCATTCGGAAACGTTTGTGCTCGGGAGGATGCGCAGGTCAAAAACAACTGACGTCAGGGGCCTGGGTCACGCTTTAGATTGTAGACGGACTCGCGACCTGGAGGATGTTGCTTGGACGCGAAAAACAGAACTGGAGAAGTCAGGCGACACCGATCCAAACACTCTACACCGCAATCTTCGCGCTAGGAACGGCAAATTGGACCCGAGTCGGGCATCGTTTGCTAAAACATATGTTGACGAACCCAAACTCAAAAGTACTAGTCTCGTCTCGTTCTAGTTGGCGATGAGTTGTGCACGTGGCTTATTCAGCGACCGTTTTTTATGCCGCTTGCCGCTTGCCGCAACTACAGACGGCCCGGCGTCATACGATTCAAGGATCAGGCCAGCACAATTAAGATCTTTCTATTCTCTAAGATTCGACCAACATGTACTCCGAACTCATAATTAGGCTGACCAGTGCCAGATGGAAACGATATGGACAATACATTATCTAGTTCTGTGAATGCCGTGATGCATCATAGTACAAGTCAAGCAGACATCCAGCTGACCATGCTTGGGTCGGGGACTATAAAATATAAGGTTAGCCAAGATTGATCGACATGACGCAGAAATAGAGAGTAAAGAAAGGTATTCAAGACATACGGAGTCTGCACAGTGTGCACCATTCTTATTTGTTAGTTCTGTAAGGCCCTTCCATGGACTTTCCCTCAAAGCCCGTTTGCAACCCTCCAGACGTCGAGTAATCTGTTGGTAAGTCTCTGTCCGTTCTGCCGGCGTCGTCCTGCGAGCAAGGTCGAAATGCAAAAAGGCGCGGAGGAAGTACCCACGCTGCCAAACCCACTCAGGACCTTGGTGGTAATTTCTGCCTTTGGCAGTTGCAAAGTCGGTCGAGTCCTCCGAGTTATTGTAGTTAGGGCGGTAATTGAGATCGGAAGGGTCAAGGGTGGCCATTCCTACCGGCCCTACCAGAACCTCGTCGGCAAGAGCGAGAGCTGTGAGTGCTTTGGATGGAGTGAACAGGTCTGGAGCGACGGTCATGGCTATCGGGAAATTGGAACGAAGCTGATAATCCTCGTATGGCTTACCAGACCTGTACAGATCCTTGTAAATTCCCCGTCTATTGATGATGTTTGCGTCAATGTCGTACTGGCCATCGTCCTTTGGCTGTAGAGGAACATAGTAACAGCGCTCGAAGTTGGCCCGAATTCTTGACGCCCACTCCTTGAAAGAGATGGATTTCCCTTCGCCAATGTCGACTCCATCATGTTTGTAAAGGCCTCGCTCGTGCAGTTCAGCAACCCAGGTCAAGGCGCTGTACACTAGCCCGGTTATCTCAATGGCTGCCCCGTCTCGTGGCGTACCAGGTACGCCTTTGTTGCCAGCTTTCGCGCTCTCACCCATCTTGTCCTGCCATGTCCCACAATTGTATTGACTGCCACCGAATATCAGTCCTGTTTCCCAGTCGACTTTGACATCAATCTGAAAACCTTCCTGTGTCATTTGCATGTCAAGGTCAGGTCCCGCGTTGTATTCCTGGAAGGAGAGTCCTTGTGCATGTCGCTGTAAGACCTCCTGGATTATTTCGGATATCGTCGAATGTTGCGAGTAGGCCCTAGGGTCATCATACGGGAACCATACATCATCGTATGGTAGGAAACGCCTGGGAACATTATGATCCAGAAGCCTCGAACCATCTGGTGCCATTTTGGTGTAATCCTGGATGGATTGCAGGAAGAACCAAACAGAATCCCGAGAATTGTAGCGCGGGAGCTTCCCACTGCTCAAAAGATTCGGGATCATGCCATGCTTCAATACACTCGCAAATGCAGTTATATGCTCTTTGGCATCCTCAAAGCGACTTGTGCAGAGAAGGAGGCCTCTGAGTGAAATGAACACGTCGCGACCCCAACACCTTGCCCAGTCTACGGCGAAATGTGGTAGGCCAGCTGCAAGACTGGGTACCTTCTTCGTGGGCCACAAAGACGCTGAATTCACATATCCAGTTTGTTGGACACTCACCATACCTAATTGATGAATGAATTCTTGCCCGTTCTGTATGTGCGGTCCCAGAAGTTGAATTCCTCGCTTCCAGGCAGCATTGTAGGCAACCTGAACGATTATTGCAAAGTACCGGGGTAAAAGGAAACTTGGCAGCTGACGGACGGCTTGAAACTTTTCCTGAAGCCATGTAGCTGGCCTGCCAAGGGCAGTGTGTTCGTCCGTGTGGCCCAGCTTCTCCAGGCGAGCCACAATATAGTCCAGAGCCCACTGTCCATTTCGCAGGTGATCACACAGTGGGTGGCCGAGTTCGTTGTATTTAATGATGTTCTCAAGCACGCTCCACCACCCCTGTAGACCGGCATAGACCAAAGGCCCATGGCCGGGGATGTCGTAAACCCCGTCCTGGCCCTTACTCGAGTCTCTCTCCTCTGCTTCGCAGCGGTAAAGCGCGAAGTTCAGATCAACTAAGCTGAGATCCGAGAATGCATGATCCACGCCTTCGGTGATATAATTGTCCAGTCCACTTGCATGTTCAACACTCGGCATGGACGTCTCAAACAAGGCAATAGACCCGGCAACAAAAGAATCCAAAACAGATATGATGGTATCTTTGCCAGACTCCTCGATCTTGGTACCTTCAAACGTTTTAACTTGGCTCGGCAGGCCTCGTAGATAGAATTTGTCTGCTTGTATCCGCTCCTTAGTAGTTTGGCTTGCATCAACTTCTAAGAGCCACGTCCCGATATGCTTGACATGAGTACCGACGAGATGTGTGGGCGCCAGAACCGATTTTCCGTCTTGACCAGGAAAGGCTGTATGTGCAATCAAGAAAACACCCTTCCGTGTTCTAGGATGCACCCTGTGCACTGTGATATACTCGCCGTCATGATGGATGTGCGTTTCATCATACCCTTCAACACCCATTCTAGTATGAAGGTCATTGAGTAGTTTTTTGATGCCTCCTATTCCTCCCTCAAGAGAGTTTAACCCAGTCTCGGGGGCTTCCGAAAATTCAGAAAAGTATAGCCGATGTTCATGAACGAGATCGACAAGCCGGGGATATACTTCATCGTAGCCGATGACGCTGCCAATGGCTGAGGCACACATGGCCACCAGAGCGCCATTTGGTAAAGTGTCTTTTGCGGTTCTCTTCTGCGCAGGCATCTCGTTGTCATGGGTGCAATCCATGAATAAGGCCTGAACTGGTGTAGGTCGGATATGAGCAACTTTCTCTTTGCCGGAGTCAAGACCAGAAGAAGCAATCGCATGACTACTACCCGAAGAAGGCAAGTCAAGATCGAAACTACCAATCGGACGTCCGCCATGACGGTGAACAAGACGGCTCAGTTCCCCTGTACTCCAGGCCTGCATGGCTTCACGGATGAGCGCATTTATGCCGAGACGTTTGACAAATATATAGTCAGCTTCCTCCGAGCCAGTGAAAAGTTCCGCGAAAACGGTCAGATTGGGTCGAACTTTGCGTGCCTCATCTAACAGGTACTCGGCAACCACCAATGGTGTCGAATGGCAATTGTCAATGCGAAATCCTGAGAAATATTTGGCCATAAGACGAGTGTAGTCTGTCATGAAATCCCAGAGGAAAGGATTATCGTCACGACAACTGCCATATCTCAGCTTCACGCAATCGCCCCAGACGATTACTTCACGTCGCAGATAAGCCCTAGAGTCGGGCCCCGCATTGTCCCTCAGAGCATCAGCGTTCCATATCCAACCGTTATTCACCAGAGCCAGCGCCCCTTTCTTGTGCTTCTTGGTAACATCGTTCAAAGGCAGCCTCGTGAAGTACGTTTCAATTAAAGGGCTTTGTGCCGTGACGGCGCCGAGCTTGGGACCATGGTCGTCAATCCTTAGATATTTTATCCGGTTGAAGACTTGATTCATAATCTCTGAGACGTCTCCATCGTACTCCTCATAGAATGGAAGATTGACCTCGTCGAGTATTTTGGACAGACTCTCCTCGACTGTATTAGTGTCAGATGTCGGAGAATCGTGCGGACCAAAAAGGGCTGTCAGTATAGCTGCCCCAAAGTGCAAATCAACAGCTCTGCTAAACCGCCCCAAGACCTGCTTCGAGGTGGGTATAGCGTGTTCTCGAATGAAAGTTGCTTGTTGTTTCAAAGTCCAGTTCTTGTAGTCTGAAAGGTTGAGTTGCGCCCATTTCTTGTCTGTTAGATTAAGGTCTTTGGATGTTTTCCATTGATCGAGTATTCTCTGTGTGTCAGCCTTCACATCAATGGCATAGAACTCCCAGAGTCGTATTCCAGAAATGACTTTGTCCCGCATAGCATTCATGACTTTCATCAATTCGTCCACAGTTTGAAACTCGGTGGGCAGCCCAAGAGTGGAGAGTTCTTGACCGAATTTCAGCAGGGCAGTGTCCAGCTCCAGCGCTGCTTCAAGCCATGGGGCAGTTTCGACACTGTAACCAGCTTCTGGATGTTCCTCCAGCCATTTGCTGTTATGGGCAGTGTGGTTCCATACAACGTCCGTAAGCGATAAAAGCCCATATTCATCCTCCATCTTAGAAACAAGACGCGCAACATCGTCTTCACCATTGGGGAACACGGCGTCATCAAATTGCAGCTGATCAAAGATGCTATAAGGTGAGTTCGAAGCTCCGCGCTTCATCAGGGGCGTGAAATGAACCATATTGTAATTACGTTGGCTAATGCCGTTGAGGTGCTTCTCCCAGTCCTTGGGATACTGTCCCATGAACTTTGAGATCACAGAGTATATAGAAAGAGCATTGAGTGGAAGATCTTGACCGCGAAGAGTCAACTTGGGTGAGACATCGATATAATGGGTTGGAGTCCTTGTTTGCTCTGGGGTGGGTGTTGATAGGACGGAGAACTCAGGAAGCGGGGAGAAGGTCACATAGAAGGCGAAGGAACCCGCAGAGGTGATGGGGACATCAATCTGAATGTTCTTGTTGAAATCCGGGGATAGGCTAGATTTATGGAAAATGTCAAAGGTTGATAAACTTGTAACCATTCATTTCTCTTACCTAAAGCTCCGAAAAGCAGACCGATTGAAAGATTCACCCTTCTCGGGGATGTTGACCCATAAAGCACCCTCTCTACAGATTGAGCTGCTGCCTTCAATGACAAAGCGAAGCA